CGTAAATCAAATGCTTAGCCAGATCTTATGGCAAGAGGCGGTTATTTAAACAATTAATAAATAGGCTCGTAAAATCATAAAAGTGGAGCGTTTATTTGAACATTTCTACACCCGTTGAGTGCGTTGATATGTAAAATGCGATATTTTTATTGCGTGTCAATGGCAACACACGCGTCATAACGCACCGACCGCCAACCAGCCAACCAGCCAGCCAGCCAGCCAGCCAGCCAGCCAGCCAGCCAGCAGCCAACCTGCTAGCCAAGCAGTTGACCAAAAAAATCATCTCACAAACCTGAGCATTATACAGTCGGTCGGCCGTATATATTTTATATTTCAGCTGCGTCGACAGCGACAAACGACAGCGGACAGAGGCGACCTTGTGCTATGGCTCAACGCGTAGAAAGCAACAACAAAAAAAAAGGAAAATTAAAGAAAGAAAGAAAATATAAGTATCTACGAGTTTGAAGACAAACGCCGGAGAACATTCGTCAAAGTGTAAACTTTTTTTAAGATTCACATTTGTTGTATTTACGAATAATAAATACAAAAACTATTTCTATATTGCTCGCCTGCATATTATGTAGTTAAAGTTTCTTTGTTGTGACACACGCGGCGTATGCGTAATATTCTTAATTTTCTTCTTTTTCTGCACTGCGAAAGTTTTGCTTTTATGGCTGCGCATTAAATACAAGCAGCAGTTATTTTATTATTTGAAATCCACTTTTGCTTTGCCTCTGCGCATATAAAAAACAAATTAGCATAAATCACATTTTTACGGCAGCACCAAAAAAAAAAAAAATGCTGCTTGACATTCGCTGTTGGTGCTGGCTGTTTTTTTTTTTGCTCTCGAAATAAATGTTGACGCCGTGCCGTTGGCTGAAGTTTTTTACTGCACTTCTACTTGTTTATCTTTTTCATTTTTGGCTTTTTATGACAACTTGAGGGTGTGCATAATTGGGTTTCAAGTTCAAAGGCACAGTTCGCTATAAAAAGAGCTGTTGATAAGAAATTGCAAGAACCGACTTAGCACCATTCAGGGCAACTCATCGCTAAGTTTCCCCATAAATATGTGACCTAATTGTCAAGCATTTATTGTGTGAGCATGGACATGGATAGAAGGTCGCTTTTGATTGTCCCTGTGAGCTGTTTGTGGAATAACTCCTCCTTGCTGCATCTGCTTCGCAGCCATAAACCAAAACTAAGACAACAATATAGCAATAAATATCATCAGCACCTTAAAATGAGGAGAGACTTTATGATTTTAAGTTCACAGCTCATGGAAAATGTTTCCTTTAGTTTTCCCGAATGAAGGAAAATGAATTTTCAAATCCGCAAAATTGTCATTATAGCTGAAGGTTAAAATTAAAAGCCATGTTAAATCAACTGTTTTATGCTTAGACAAATTATGTAAGTTCTCGGTGTGTTTTGTCTAGAGTGGTAGAGACAACCAGCACATTAGTGATACCTCTCGGTAATTTCCCATAGCTGAAGGAAAAACAAAGAAACAGCGAGGCGCATAAAACATGCCCTCGAAGAACAACTTAATTTGCTCGATCTAGTGGCCAGCCGATCGAACTGCAAACCTTTCAACGCCCTACCTGCCCCTGCTACCTGATATGTTTGCAGGACATAGAATATATATAAGAGCAACTAGAGTATTGTTAAGAGTAAGATAGTTAAAAGCTTAGTAATATGGTTTTCTGATTTTCATTTCTTTACGTCGTGTATTTATTTGTTCCTCTTTAGTATTCAAGGGTCTGGTTTCTCGTCATGCTTCAATTATTTGCATGAGATAGTTTTATAAACGAACGAACAGGCAAAATAATTGATTAATTAAGAACAAACAAATAAATAGCGTTGTCCTTGAAAATAAGTACTTTTTGCCATTTGTTTGCCACTTCAACACCTCAAGTGCCCCGCTAAGCACTAAAAGCACTTTCTGGCAGTACTTTGTGTTCATTTGCGTCAACTTGGGCAATTTTTAAAGGCTTTTAAAGTTCCATGAAATGGGGAAAACTATAAAAAGCGAGCGCGTTCAAAACAATTGCAAGTTTCAAGAGGTTCGTTGCACCCACTACGCAGACACAGCAACAACAGCAACAACAACATGAACATTTGCAATAACTCACAAAATTAATTGCAGAGAACAACAAACACAGAAACGGCCTGGATGGGTGGGTCGGTGGGGCGTCCGCTGAAAGGCGTACAATTTTAAAATGACTTGGCCATTAGCCGACGCGTTGATAAAAAACATCTTGGAATCCAGCAACAGCAACAACAACACCCAATCTATAAATAGCTAAGCACATTACAACAAGAGCCACATTCAGACACACGCGTCTACAACCCCAGCCCCAATTAAAATTCATAAACAAATCGCGAATATGGATGGCGATTTTGAAGCAATTCTCTCATCTTTCACTTCACTTCTGGCCATATTAATTTAATTTATTCATTAGCGGGCGCATAAAATTGTCCTCGCATCATGTACCCGACAACATTTCTTGTTTATTTGGCTAATATTAAACAGTATGTTCAAAACGTAGGACACGAGTTGCTCGTTCCGCCACTTGCCACAATATCTCAAGAGTTCAAATTCCCGTACATATGGATATAGACACATATATTTGAGCGTGTATTGACTGTCTGCGTTGAAAATTACGCTTTGCCGGCAATTGACTTCGCACTTCATTAATGCGCTTCTCTGCTCATTGCCGAACACTTTTACGCATAAGAATCGAGCAAATAAATACACACATTTGCTACAAATATATATACTTATATATATTTATATATGTGTATAGTACATGTTTTGAAATCTATGCGCATATGCGTTGCGGGCGTGAGGAAATTTCTGACGCTCACTCATTGCCAGAGCTATCAACAACCGTACAATTTCTGGCTAATTTTATTTCCGCTTTACTCGCTCAGCCGCACAACGACATATCCAATATTCAATATTCAATATTCGATATTCGGTATTCAATGTTTGCTTAAAATCAATCAAAATCTGTGCGCATTGCTTGACTGGCTTTTAAAGCGAAATTATAATTAATAAACATTAGACATTAGATTGTATACATACACTTCTGATTTGCAGCAGTCACATGCCGTCTGTCGCACTACATGGCGTATTAGTGATATACATTTCTATGATCTATTTTGAAACGATTCATAAACATATGCTGCTTGCGTAGCAATTAATTTGTTTTCTGATTAGTGATTGAAAGTGAATATTAATAGCCCCAAATAGGGGTTGAGTGGGGAAGACTAAGGCACAGGCGAGTACGTATTTATGGGTTCATTAATTGGGTCACTTCTACAAATTATCGTCTGATGAATGATGATCGATGAATGAATAAGTTGTGTTCGTGTCTATTAAAATTATAGGCTAACGAAAGACATTTCACTTTCATTGCGACTAATTGGATGTAATTGGCTAGCCCATAAAAAACTTATGTACTCCACCATTCCCCCAATTGCCAAAAGAAATGTTTTCAATGTAGAAATTATTAAAGTTAGGTTAGGTAGCATTAGATAATGTAAGGTAAGGTAAAATAACATTAGGTATGGTTAGTTAAGATTAGTAAAGGTTAGGTAAGGCTTGATAACATTTGGTAAGGTTTCCTAATTTATGTAAAGTACAACTTACTTTGGTAAGGTTAGGTAAGATTAAAATAAGGTTATGTACGGACATGTGAGGTTAGGTACAGTTAGGTCCAGTAAAAAAAAGAGTTAACAAAGTTTCAATTTAAAGGTCCATGAATGTTGGCAAGATAAGGCATGTTATGTTAAGGTTGGCTTAAAAATATACGCTTAAGCACGTTGAAGTAACATCTGCTTAAGTTAAGCGAAATAAGGTTAGATTAGATTAGCCATGAACTTAGGTTTTAGGCTTTAGCTTAGTTGCAGCCCATTTGCATTAGTCTAGTAAAGTATTCAATAATCCATTTTAAAAAGCAGTGATTTATTTTCGAACTTGACTGCCACAGGGACCTAGATTTCCAAAGTTCTTCCGGTCTTTGAACGTCTGACTTAAATTGCACTTAATGCCTCAATAAAGACAACAATGCAGCCATATAATGACACATTTTCACGTCACTCAAGCAGTCGAATGGCGCCCAATTGTATTTATTTGTTTTATGCCCAATCACTCACAATTCGCGTATCGAAAACAAAACAAAGGCGCTGGGGAATTTACTTGTTTATTTTGTAAAAGCTGCAAATTGAAACGTGTGGGCAAAACACACGCAAACCCATTTGCCATAGACGGGAAACAAGTTTCTTGACCGCCTTCAATCAGCTGGCGAAAATATGGCCACGTGTGGCCGCAAAGTCAACAAACTTGTCAGGCCAAACCCTAAGCTTCTTAATTGAGAAGTTCCCCTCCCTAGTTATTTAGAAATATGTCTTTGTAGCTGTCTTCATTGGAAACGACGAACCAATTTAGTTTTAAAGCCACATGTTTGAAAACATTATTTTAAAGTGCTTTCAGACAGCCAGACAAAACGAAAGCAATTTAATGATGTCTCTCTATCCCTCTCTTCCTAATGAAAGGAGTGCCATTCTCTAGAAATAAATTTAATCAAGCCCACATTTAACTACAAAATTTCGCGACTTAATTTAAGAGGAATGACGAGTAATTAGTAATTAGGCAGATAGTTTGCACACAAATTATTTATATTTACTAAAATGCCTTAAAGAGTAAATTTCAAAAGATTTCTAAAGTAAAAACTGTCTTTTGGTAAACAATAACATTCTTGACAAATTAGAAAAATTGGATTGCAAATATTTTGCCACTCCACGTCTAAACCAATGGTCACACATGCAAATAACATGTAAAACCCTTAACATACTTGTACTTAGTTCCTTAGTTCAGTACTATGCAGCAGAAAAACTATTAAATTATGAATTATATCTTTTAAGATGACATTATATTTGTGGCATACTTAACACTATTGCGTGCAAATTATTTTCCAGTCTGACCATACAACCCTTACTTCATACTGTGTAGCGTTTTATTTCTGCCATTATGTCGTTATTGTTACAGTTTCAATTCAAAATAAATGTGTAAGTAACAGTCCTCAACATTTTTGCGTCCTTCTACAGGTGTAAGCGATAGGTGAGCAGCAAATTGGGATCGGCATTTGGATGGTTGTGGGTAACATGCTCCTCAAACTCGGCCAAGTTGAAGTTGTGCATCTTGCAGTAGGGGCAGCGTATCAAAATGGGATATTTGCCCGACTCCAGCTCCTCCCTGGTGTAAAACAAGGCCAGGCTGGCCGGAGTAAAAATGCACTTCATGGCATGATCGAACTTGTGATCGTCGGTGGTCACATCCGAGGCGAAGCAGTTGTCGCACAAATTGAAGCCATCTTCGCAGGCCAGGCAGTGATAGCGCCGACCCATAAAGTCCCGCTTCTTGCATCCGTTGCAAGTAACGCCCACATGGCGAGAAAGCTCGTCGCTGGACGGAAAGGGTATTAGCTTTGGTGCAGCTTTGATATCGTTTACCTACTTTTCTTCCATTGTGCCCAGATGTACTTTTATCGGTACAGCTTGCTTTGAATAAAATAAATAACTTGCATATATCTAGACCTGTCCGTATAAATGTCAACAGAAAAGTTAACTCAAGGCAAGCTAGGAAAGTCTACAAAAGGTTCGATAAAAAATTTTAAAATAAACAAAGATGTAATAGAGTCTAGAAAACCCTTCTGTTTTTTTCTTTAGCGGGTTACCAAATAGTTTATGGATTTAAAAACCTTAAATGAACTTTAAAAGAACGAGTGTGCTACTAACTGAAATCTTAGAGCTAATTGTTCCCACTATGTCATGGATTTGACCTTTAAATACCAACGTTGTTCGTACTTAAAGAGATTTTTGTGACAATCATTAATCTCATTTAATTTATTTAATTGAAAGGTTGTTTGTCTGTGATATAATATTTCATAAGATAACTATGTAGAGCTAAATCTAATTTTCCCACAAGATATTCTTAACAGTTTAGTTAAGTGTACTCCGAAGTTAAAGGTCAGAGAAATAAATAGAATTAAATAAAGTTAATACTTGTATTTCGTTTAATTGAGTATGCTGAGAGTTAAACTATGAATAATAGTAGCTCCAGTAAATATAAAATCTGTCTATTTATCTCTCTTTCTGTCTATCTAGTTAGCAATATCCACGTTCTATCTATCTATTAATATATTTATCTATATATTAAATAATAGTAGCTCCAGTAATTATAAAATCTGTCTATTTATCTCTCTTTCTGTCTATCTAGTCACCAATATCTATAATTCTATCTATCTATTAATATATTTATCTATATATTAAATAATAGTAGCTCCAGTAATTATAAAATCTGTCTATTTATCTCTCTTTCTGTCTATCTAGCTACCAATATATACCAATATTCTGTTTATCTACCTACTACATATCTATCTTTATATTCATTTTTATATCTATCTATGTCTATGTCTATAACTCATTAAAAGAAAGTTTCAATTGCTTACTAATTTCCTTCTAAAGTAACTTAAGTGCAATTCTCTCTAGCGTAAAACTTTCAAAACTCTACGTTCAAAGGGACGACCAAATGCCATTACTTTGTATTCGAATCGTGTATTACAGCATTACGACCACATTCAACTCTGAACTTTTGCTGACGGCATTTAGAAATTTACTTTGCTGCCAGTAGCCAAGCCAGGCACATTGAGCGCCATGTCAAGCGTGTCTAATACGAACACAAGCACAACAACAACTAATGGCATACAAAATAGCAACAGACTTGTGGCAACGACAAACCCATTTAGGGCCACTTGTAAGACCTACATACGAGTATGTGTGTGTTACCTGGCACCCGCACAACACACAACGAACCTATTGAACCAAATGGCAAATAAGGTGGCTGGCTGGCTTACTGAACTGGACGCTTCTCAGGCGCAATCAAAGCGCATTTGTACTGAGCTCGTTGGTTGGCCACCCACTCACATAATTCAATACAGTCAGCACACGCTAAGTGTGAAAATGTGGCGGAATTAGTTTCGAATTGAAGCCAGAGAATATTTATCAAAATAATGAAATACCTGGGATGCCATTTAAGCAGTTAAGCTGAACTTTGCTTTAACTTTAGCTGTTCTTGTATAATCTTGTTCGAGAGAGACCTATTTTATCAAGTTCCCTTAAGCTTTTTCAGGAGTGAGTATCCATAGATTTAACCTAAAATTACATTACAATTAAATATTGAAAACTATATCGAAATTTTGGAGTTTACTTTAAGAATATTAAAAAATTGTTTTCAAATAAAAAAAATAAAATACTTGATATGGGATAATGGTATATTTTAGTTATGGAAATCGTCCTCTGCAAGCAACCCAGATATCAACGAATTTCTGCTGCCATTCTTCATAACTTAATAGCCACGCTTTCAATACATTTTCGGAGAATGGGAATATTCCAACATCGCTACACAAATTATAACCCAACCGGACTTGGCATTACATATCCTTATATCCACGTCTTTCCACTGGAAACACCATTTTCACAGAGGTATCTGCTGATTGGCTCCCCATTTCAGTGACCAGTGTACCTTGCATTAAACGGGAAGGAATATTCTTGGACATATGTACGTACCCCACTACAATTCTCTGCAAACAGTTCCGACAATCACAAACAAAAAACACAATCCAGAGACTTATAGAAGTCTTCAATTTGCGCAACCTCTTTTAATTATAAGTTGCCCCAATCGCCATAGCAGCTAATACGTTTGTTTTTATAGATAGTATTAGTAAAATATTCGTAGAATTACTCTAAAAAATAATAATCTTAGCAATAACAGTATAGCTATCCCAATCGGCCTCAAAGTAGTTCTATTATGTATTCCAGCATAATATGGTTTACAGATTCGTTCTAAAACTACAACTCAATTGAAGAATTTGCACCTGCACTACAATAAATTAAATTCCCTTAATTTCCAATAGCCACTGTCAGCTGTAGTGCAACAGAAGGACACTACCGTTGAACATGTTCAAGGATATAAAACACACATCGAACAAATAGACAGAGCTGCCAGCTGCCAGGAGGAGAGGCACGTACTATCCTCACGTCCCAGGGGGAACCACAGCAGTGCCAACTCTGCAACTGTTGATGAGTGTCCATATACGAGTACACACATGACTATAGATGTGAATACTCGTACTGAGCCCTGCATATGTATAAGTAGATATATACATAATATAGAACAAATCAGAAACACTCTGCTCTCGTGCGTCATTCGATTATGACTTGTATAGAGGGGTCGTCGTCGTCTATCCGTCTGTGCGCGCCCACTTTTCACTCTGGATTTATTTATTTTGTTTTGTATGAACAGAATTCGTAGAATTAAGAGAATTGTGGCAGAGTAGGTTGGCCCGGACTCCCAGTGGGGGGTGATGAATGCCCCCAGCAGACCCAACCCGAGCGGCGTTATGATAATGACGTCGGCGTTGTCGCCGATGTCTTTGCTCGTTTTGAGTGTTGTGGGTCGTGGGTTGTGCGTGTGTGGTTTATTTTTAGAAACTGTGGCTAGGTTCACTGGCAGGATAATTGAAAAGCAAGCAGCATACAACTCAGCAGGATACGATTTCGTTGTCCGTCTCTCCACTTGTCACTTGTTCTTAATTGAAAGAGGGAAAAACTCTGCCCCTTTCTGTGCTGGCGTGTGTTGCCGGTTGAAAAAGATTATTTATATAACAATTGCTGGTTGCAACATCTTTTGAGGTTGAGCTAACAATGGCATAGAGAATACTACATAATGTACTGACATACTACATCATGTAATCTAAGGACATTGTGTGTGATGCAGTAACACATTTGCTGATTGACGCATTGACATGTCATCAGCCAAATGGATTATGCCAAATGGATTATACCATTATGCCAGGCAGCTTCAATTACAGCCTCCTGCAGGAATAAATTATAAGACAGTGCGTGCTCTGGAAACATGTCCTACAATACAATCAACAATTGCTGTTACGAATTTTAATTAAAGTGAAAAGTTTCCCACTGTTTGTTCAGCCGTTTGTCTATACGTTCCTTTAAATTTGTGAAACTACTCAGTCTAGAGCCAGCCAAACGAAATTTTGTACTTTCTGAGCGTTTTCCAAATACTTCAGATATTATATCTGTTTGGTAACCTTTCAATCATAATTGGACCTTTTATAAGCGATTTCTGTTGAGTCAAATACCTTGTAAATAGGAAAATATTTATACATCATTTTGAACTGCTTTTAATGTATTTTATATAGTTGATAGATATAACTGCTTTATTTAAATTCTAATAAGTATTTTAAACAGATATTGCAAGGCAATACAAAACTGGTAGGCATTATACTATTCGAAAAATCAGTTTTAAGTCTTTTTTTTAAAAAAAAAAACAACCTTCTTTTCCTCCAAAAACATGCTACGCGTATCAATACATATGTCAATGATCAGGCATATTTAATATACTTTACGTTACTAATTGCTTTTTTTGCAATTAAAAAAATTAATTATAATTATTACTGAACCTTCGCTCCATTGAAATGGTCAGCATCAATGCACCAAAAACGAATACAATATAAGCTGCATTAACTTTTTTTAAATTTCTCCGATTTATAGGGATTTTGGATCTTTAGGGGAAAAAAGGGTTCCGAAACTAATATGAAACATCTGCATACAAGTTTTATTGTGTATTCTAGGCCGCCCTTCGGCCTAGAAGGCTAATTGGGTATTTTTCTGTGGGAAAATTTCAAAACGAAAGGGAAATAACCCAAACAGTAAAAAATGGATGTTTTTCTTCATAGCGTAAGTGGCAATTAAGATGTTTTTGCTTTCAAAACCTAAAAGGAGTAAATGGGGCTCCAACGACTTTTCTAGGGGTCTAATTTTTTGGGTCTTTCTATGCAAAAATTAGAAGCTGAATGAGTAATGAAAATCCATAATCTACCCAGTTATTGAGAATATGCCATTAACTTTAAATATTTTTTTCTGTATTTTTTTTATAAATAAATATAAAATTAATTATAATTAAAAAACTACTCACCAATAGTGCCCATTTCCAGTTAGTTTTCAATGCTCTGCAGTAATCCGTAAAATGTTATTCGTAATCCCAAAATGCTGGAATGTTGTCTTTTAGCGTTTGGCGGCTGTTGGCTTAAAACACAATTGATTGATTGAGTTGACCAATTGGACACAGTATTGAAGTTTTCACGCCGAAGCAACAGTTTCTGTTCTGCAACAGTTTTCCTCTATTGTTGGCAAACAAAACTATGGTGATAGGCAGAAATCACTCTTGGACAGTCACATTGCAAATGGCCGTTGTTCGAATATTTTGTGCAACAATCGTAATAATTATGTGCAACTTTTCTCATCCAGCCAACGAAACTCTCAAGGTTACAAATACTTAGCAGAAGTGTTTGTTTAAATCTTTGAAGCGACACAATGCACAGAAATCATAGCACGGCAAAATATCACGAACAGATAGTCGAACATACAATATAGTATATGTATTCATATATAAATGAGAATATACTTGTATGATGATAGGTTTAAGAGGCAGAGGTGAGCGCGCAAAGAACGAAATGCACACTCTGAAAAAATACACAACACAAGCAGCGAAAGACGCGACGTCGTCCACACGCCAGGAGTTTTCGTTAAGAATGTTTTCACATTTTCCAAGTGGTTCGTTTTTATATTTGTTGCATCGGCGACGTGCGTCGTCGTCCAAGTCGTCGTCTTTGTCCGTCGAAGACACTTCGGGCATGGACAATCGTGTTGGCTTCTGGTTCGGCAAAAGTTTTGGCTTTTTGGCGGCCCGCTCTTTCAAACAAATTTTCTCTCAATTTCCATGTTGGAGGAAAGCGAGAAAGCTTTCCTATTTGGACACAGAAGCTTTCCTCAACACAGAACACTGCCATTGTTTTGGCTTTGTGGGCGGACGCCGTGAGTTCAATGCATTGTGCGTAGATTTCTGTGTGGTGGTTGTTGGGCGCATGGATCCAGGGCCGCATTCAAAGGGTCAGAGGTTAAAACTACAAATCGTCTTACAGTAAAAATGCGACTCTCTTAAATACTTGTTTTAAATTGGAAAAACTCGCCCTACAAACTAAAAAATTAAATATAAACCTGAAAATATAATTTCTTTTATTAAATATTTTCATAAATTAGGAAATATAAAAGGGGTTGCCAAAAATACCACAGTACTCGAGGGTGTCGTGGTGACACAACTCAAAAAAATAAGAAATCACAGCTTCAATCTACATGTTTTTCAATAAATACAATTTTAGAAAATACGAGAAAACATCACATAACAACGAACGTCCAAAACATTCGAGAAAGTTGCATAGCATGAGCCGATTGATATGCCAACATCCTCTGCAACTTCCCTAATAGTGACTCGACGATTTTCCAAATTTATTTTTTAATAAATAAATACAATTTTGGAAAATACGGGAAAACATCTCATATTAATCCTCAGTTTTAGGGGGATTGACCCAAATGGGTTTTCCATTCCAGTACTGCAAAATTTTACCTTGGTTGGGGAGATTAAATTTCTAAAAATGTGTACATTTTGTGCTGAAACCCAGATATTTGTAACTTCCCAGCAAAGAAAGCGCAATCTTCAAAGTGTGCTTTAAAAAAACGAAATTTATTATTGAAAACTATCAGTACTTTATAAAAAATATGGTTTTAATAAACTTAGAAAAGAAAACTAAGTATTTGCATTCAGTCAGTTCTTGAGCTGAGATAACAATAATTCGATTTAGTTGGTTTAATTGCTAAACATAATCATTTTTGTCGCCCTCATAGACATGTCCGTTTGTCAGTCTGTCCGTCCGTCTAAATGAACTCCTGTATTTCATAAACGACTGAGGCCACGAATAAACATCGTATAAAGACTGTCCTCATTTTTAGGCAACTCGAGTTTATTTTATTTTGCTATTATTTTACCATCTTCCCCACCTCCCTCTCCCTTTCCTGTAACACCACAGAATTTCGATCAAATTGTCCACATATGTGTGTGTTCCAAAACCACATAAGCTATAACTTTCCATCCGCAATTTTTATGTATTTTTCTATTTTCATGTGAATGTTCATCCAAGACAGTTATTTTTAAAAAAGTTCTTTGTAAAGCAATTTTACTTCGCTGCTCTTTTTTTTCTTTGCTTCTACTTTACTCTTGTAATACAGTGGCAAATTCAAATTACATACAAGTAAGAATTATTATTCGGTTCCCAAAAATGATTGCATAGTAATATTTGTTAGGATACTACGATAAAGGGGGTAATTATTAATAAGCGGTAACATGAATTTCTTAAGTTCACCAAAACTGAAATACTAGTACTGATTATTAAGTCCATCTTATCGTTTGTCGCTCAGTCGAAAACATAAATCGTTATTAATACAAGTAGAAGAGATATCCCCATTAGTAAATATACTGTCAATGTACTTGATTATAAAACTAATTTGCGTATGTTTGGATTTCGGAGTCGCATTCACCAAACTTGCTTTATAGACTCTTCTAATACCCAAGCGACACAAGTTATTTTATTTTTGCCTTTTCAATAGTTTCAGAACGTTATTTATATACAATTATCTACTATTGTTTCAAATTTAATTCAAATCGGTCAATTCTAAGAAAAGTTATTAGCGAAACAAAGTAAAGGATTTTTTCATTCTATTAAGCTATTACGAACTAAAGCAAGATTTATTATTTATTACCTTTAACCTGATTGGCATTGTGATTTAGTTAAGCGCATATTTACAACAGCTTCTGACTTTTACAAACTTTCGAAAAATAGTTGATGAAGTCATGCACAACATTCTATTAAAATAACTTTGTTTACTATATAGTCGACCTTATAATTGAAATTTATTCACCTACCAGCCTCTTTAAAAACTTCATATGCCTTGACCCCAATCAAAATTTCTTGCAAAACCACAAAACAATTTGTTTTCAGTTCGCAACTTATTTAATTGCCGGATGCCACTAGTCCGCACAATAGCATCGGGCCTAACTCTATTTAAGTCGCACAATTAATTATCCTTTCAGTTGATACGAATAACAATCTGGCAAGCAGAAACCAACTACCATACTTAACCAGTAATTGCTGAATGCCACATAAATAAAACAGATACTGGAATCAGAGCCTCTGCCGCAAAACTTGGGCAACACGCAAGGACGCCAAGCACGGCCCATACACACGGAGGTGTTGCTCTACGTATGGAAAACCAGCTACCAACTTTTCCGCAACTCTGTAACTGTAAGCCACAATGCAGTAGTGAAAAGAAAGCAAACTGGAAATTAAGTTTGCGGCAGTGACGTCCTTGAACCAAATAGCTACGATCCAAAGACAGAACTCAACCCAACCACCCCACATATCACACACAGTATCATGTCAGTGGCTCGCCTCTTGCTGCCTATTGCTGGCTCGTCGTCAACTTGTGGCGTAACTTAACGTGATTACTTTACAAATAATTGAAAAGGTTGTTTTTATTCCATTGCTCAAAGAGCACAGCCCACAGGTAGGCCTGGGTTCTCGCAGAGCTCTGACGTCGCCGGTCGTTTCCGGTCGACAAGTCTCACGCTTTTACATCACTGCCTCCATATGAGTCGCATTTGCATTTCACTGACGCCAGCAATGGCGTTGGCGTTGCCTTTGCCGTTGACGTTGACGTCGCCAGCTGTGACGAAAACAACGAACGACGATGACACCCACTAACACCAAGCAACACCGACTCTGACGACAACAATGAACCGAGCAGGGACACCAACACGGACAACAACAACAACAACAACAACGATAACAACGTAAACAAACATATCGTGCGAAAACATCGTTCAGCACGATACCAATGGATAGGCCTGAGGGGCAACCTGTTCTGCTTAAATGGATGCGGGGCTGCCTGGAAATAGAAAAAGGAGCTCTTCCGACATCCGCTACCTATGTGTTTCTTGGGTAAGGTCGTTGTCTTACTCACTATAAATCTGTAACAGACTAGCGGAAGTACTCGCCTTTCTACATATACAATAGTGCTGAAGGGATTAGCCCACACTGTCCCAGTCATCGTAGCACCTATTAAAAATTTCATTTTAAACTCTAAGCCATTCCCTGACAGTTGTGTGACATTTTGAGCAGCAAAATAGCCCATTACCATAATGATATTAAATTGTGGTCAATTTACTTGCTTAAAGAAGGGACTGATGGTCAGCAAATCAAAGCAAGATGGAATGGTGAAGTCGAGCAAACCTGACAGTGAAACGTCCTGGCCCCAAACCAACCGAACAAAAGAAGAAGAAGATCAAACACGATGCTGCAATTTGTGAGCCTCGGACTGAAATAATATAAGTAGTCGCTCGAATTTCAATAAAATGAGCTCATTTATACTTGTATGAAATTTTAAACAAAAGTAGTCAATAATTATGTACGAAGAGTTTACACGTAATTTATGTTGCTTTTCGAATTGGAATAAATATACAAGTTGCGTTTCAAAATAAACAGGATCTTTTAAGAATACGAACAATAAACAATAACGTTGTCAAAATCAATAAAAAATATAGTTCTTTAGAATGCCTTTGGATGGTTTCTACACATTTTTCGAAAAAGGTAAATGTCGCACGGCAAATCGGGAAGTGGTTGATGGTTAAAATGTGGTTTTTAATCACAAAATCAAGTGTCGACCAATAAGACAAATTTTATGTTCGCAGTGTATTTATTTACTTTGTAACGAACATTATAAATCCTAAAATATTGCAGTGTTCACACTATTGCTAATAATTCCTTTTAGAGCATTTCATATTGGTGTGGTAAGCAATGCAATGTTCTTGCGTCTGTAGTTAATGTAAATGGTTTCTTAAAGTCTGGATATATCAGAACTGATTAATTTCCTTGTATTCAATTTATTGATTTCTTGTAAACAGCCTTCTGCATCAACATTTCCTCCATTAATATAGTCCATTTAATGCAAACAAAATAATAATAATAGTTGAAGTTTAGTTATTTAATTTATTTTGATTGCTTAATAAGATTTAACACTAAGCTTCCTTGTTTCTGTGACCTATCGGATAGTTATAGTTATTTTGTTATCTCTCCTTATTTATAGATGCAGACTCTGGACACTTTTAAATTTAAATTTTAAATTTAGCTGTTTGTCCTTTTCGTTCTGAAACCCCATATAAATCAACGTCTTATATTCTTTCAACAATTAGTGGGGTTAAAATTTTAAAGATATATAGTATTAAAAAATACGAAGTTTCCATATTTCTACGTTCTTTCTTATCGTAGTTTCTTCAAAATCTGGTTTATTTTTAATTTATACCTCTAGGCCCGTTTATCCGATTTTGTAAAGTTATAGTAAATCTTTTTCTCTATTGATAACTCAACCCTTCCTTTGTCTCCCTTTTTTATTATTCCCCGAAAAGTTTAAAGTAATTCCTGAACGCATTTCACTCAGTAATATTTAATTCGATCAGTGATTTCTGAGATTGAAAAAGTGACGCCTCTTTGGCCGTATATCTGAATGAACGCCTGAATATCAGAAAGGACTGAGTCCTCATAGGCTAAACTTTGTTTGTAGACTCTCATAGTTTCTAGGCAATAGTAGTAGAGAATTTCAATGTGTTACTCGACCCACCTCTATGCAACATACTCGTGCAACATTGAAGGTCAGTTCTTTGGCAGTTCGCACAACAACTGCCTGGTAACCACAACAAACCTCAAAGTCGACCTAACCCAACGCGAAAAGAGCTCGAGCACGTTTATGCTAGAATGAAGGGGACGCGCCTACTCCAACAACTCCAATAGCTGCAACAACACAGAGTGGAGCCAAGAACCTTTGGCATATGCTACACGAGCATGTAACTATTAATAGAGTCGTTCGAGACCCGAACCTTTGAACTTAACTGGGGCTCAATGGTTGCCAGGCAGCTGAGGGCCGCCCATATGGGAGGCCGTACTCAAAATTAACAGTCACAACCACTCACTCACTCACTCGCCGAGTCAGGAGTCAGTCAGTCAGTCAGTCAGTCAGTCAGTCAGTGGGTTGCGTAGCATCCGCGCACACGGAACGCGATAATTTTGCAAAAATCGAATTAGTCTGTGCCTATAACTGAACGCGTACGTTTGCATAATTTGCCAGACGGATACTTCAATTGATTGGATGGAAGTGGATGTGCAGTGCGCGTTGGCCGAGTGAGTAATGCACGATAGAAAGCAGGAGCAGCAGCAGCACCAGCGACCCAGCAGTGAGCCACAACGCAGCAGGGAGACCGACCTCGGCCGGGAGACGATCAAATGTGCAAGTGCCACATTGCAAAAGAAAGCGGCGGTGCCACAAACGCCACCAGCGGCACCGCCACCCACGCCCTCCGCGCCAGTTCCAGTGCCAGTGCCAGTGCCCATCATACAACTGACGCCCGCCAGCAATGCAACGACACCTACGGCCACACCGCCGCGCACACACTCCGAGGATGGCAACAACAACAACAACAACAACGGCAATAATGACAAGATTGGCAGCTCGGGCGATGCCAAAGGTCTTTGTCCGGCTCTGCAGACAGCCAGCAAGCCAGCGAAGGCAACGCTGCCCAGTCCGTCCGGCCATACAACATCGCCCATCGTCGCCACAACGAATTCACCCACGCCGACACCTACACCGACGTCCACATCCACGCCAACTGCCAGCGCGCCGATGGGTCCGCCCACCAACTACTGTGCCCGTCGCACTTGGATCACCACGGATCGCATGAACGAGCTGCGTCGGAAGGCGCAGGAGGCGGCAAAGCACAACAAAATCTTCACCATACGCGGCTGCTTCAATTCCATACGCAATGCTCTGATAGCGCGTGGCTGGGTGGAGAAACTGGATATGCATCGCAAGGTGATGCCCGCGGGTCAAATGACGTACGAGGACTTGACGCAACGCCTGCCGAAACGCAAGGCGGGCGAGACGAGGCGGCAGTACGTATTGAAGTGTGAGCGGAATATAATGTCGCGTTTTCTGGAGCACATGCCTGTGGACTTTCTGTGGACGAATCGAAAGGAGAAATGCGATTACATTGATCAGGCCAAGAATCCGGGCATGACCATCAACAAATTCCATCGCGCACCCTTCACCTCCAAGGAGGGTTTGTGCAGCCAGCTACGTGACTTCCATTGGTTCTTTGAGGAGGGCACAGCTGAAATGTATTTTCCTCGCTGCTACAACGTCTGGAGTCCCGAGGAGCTGGGCGAGTTCATGGATAACTTCAAGCTAACCGCCTGCGTCGCCTTTCTGCGCTCCATGCTCTGCAAGTATCACAAACATGGCTGCGAAGCGGTATTCTCCACCAGTGGCAAGATACCCTACTCCGCCATAGACTTCGCCTACAAGCGCGTGGTCGAGTACATCGATAGCTGCCAGCACAATGACATCGATTATGAGGATCCGCCGAAAATATGGGAGCACGACTGGGATGCCTTCCTCTACCAACATCAGCAGCTCGTCAATGAGGATGCCCGCATCCAGCACGATGGTCAGCGTACAATCGAGCATATGATTAAGTCATGTCTGTCGCTGGTGGACAAAATGAAGACCCACTGGCCCCAATACACCCTGGATGGCTACCAGAACTTGTGGATCGTGAAGCCGGCCAACAAATGCCGTGGTCGCGGCATATTGTTAATGGATAATTTGAAAAAAATTTTGGGTGTCGTTAATCCATCGATAGCGTCAAAGAGCCGTTACGTAGTACAAAAATATATAGGTAAGCCTAAAAGAAACCTAACCTAGCCCACACGCACACACACACACACATACACAGACAAACTTGTAAGCACAAGCTTTCCAAAGAATAGCTCTGTGAGGAGGAGAGTTCAGCATGCTTTTTCGGGCGTAACGAAATAAACAAACATGCACTAAAGTAGGTCGAAAATCAGGCCGTTGCCGTTGATGCCACACCGCCAGCCAAACAAGCAACGCACAATGGGCCAAACAACACTTTTGCGCGAGTACAATTGTGGATTCCAAGAAAATTTTAAAATGGAAGGAGTTGAGGAAAAGCAGAAGGTTGGACGTTAAACGATTCGTTAGCACTAAAAGCTAGATCCAGAGACTTAAAATATTATTTGGTAATTTTCTAGTTTATTGAGTAGAGGACTTAGCTCCTAATCGCGTTGCTTTGCTTGCTTCAGACTTAAATTATTATTTGGATATTTTCTAGTTTATGGAGTAGAGGACTTAGCTCCTAATCGCGTTGCTTTGCTTGCTTCATTTGATTAAAACATACATTTTTTATAGGAATTATATAATCAAATAAATACCCAACAATACAAATAAAGTTATTATAAATACATAAATTATAACAAATCTATTATAATATAATCATCCTTCAAAAAGGCTTAAAAATCATAACACTACCACCATAACTAAATAATAAATTAACTAAACCCGCAGTGGAATTTGTTGTTTGCGATTAAACCTGTTGATTAATAGTAAGTTTTGCTATTGTTTTAAAAAAAATTGTATGTTTCAGTATATTCAAAACCTTACCTTTGAAAGATTCCATTCAGTTTGAGAAACTTTTCAACCATAACAATAATTTCTAAAAAAAAAAAAAGAGAAAGGAGATATGAAAGATGAAAAGATGATATACCAAATAATGGTTTAAAAACCTTTTTTTAACTTAATAAAATATATATTTCTAACTTAATAGAGATTGATGTGTGTGTGTGTTTCCTTTTTGTAGAACTCTTTACCATTCGAAATAGTTCTTCATGGGTAAGAACAACAACCACATGCGCAACAATAAAGCTATTATAAATATAAACGAATACAATTAAATTTCTCGAGTTCTAATTTGTTCATTCAGACGGGCATTTTTAGCCCACTGTGCCAACTTGAGCTTCCAACTTTGCTTGGCGTTTTTGGATGCCAACAACGTCATGGGTAAAGGACGAAGACAATGACTCGCGACTTGCGGTGTCTGCCAACACGCACGCATATCAAGCAACGAAGGCAACAAGAACATATGGTTGCCTCAGCGCCTCCACAAATAGCCTAAAAACGTGCAAGTTGCCTCTCCTTGCCAGGCACCAATCGTAATTTGTTTAACGGTTTCAGCGTTGTGTGCCACTCAGTTAGACTAGCAGGCGGGCGTGCAACAGGTTCAAATTGATTTTCAATATAACCTCAATGTCAGCGGAACTATTTTTAGACGATACGCTATCAATCCCTTTGAATTTATTTCTGTGTGTACGGATATTGGAAACAGTACTTAAGCTGCAGCTTCTACGATAGTTAGTGTTCTTTTAAACACGTATTTCTACCTTCCCCATTAAGTTTTACATAAATATGATTCTTACGGAAACTATGAATAGGAAATTCATCAAAATTAGACAGAATATTGGACCCGATACGTTGTAAATCCGGAAACCGGGCTCGTTTTCCACTTGGCATATGTATAAGGTAGGGGGGAAAAAGTATTATTAACTACATAAAATAAATATTTCATACCCTGTACCCAAAGGGTGAAAGGAAATACTAGTTTTGTGCGAATGCATGCAACAGGCAGAAGGAGGCGTGGCAGACCCCACAAAGTATATATATTATTGATAAGGGTGACAAGCCGAGTCGATATAGCCATGTCCGTCCGCCTGTCCGTCTGTATGAGCGCAAGGATCTCAGAAAGTACAAGAGCTAGAATGACCAAACTTGTTATCCAGGTTTCCCTGAGTCCTAGGCAGGTCAAGTATGTTTTTTTATTCTGATTTCCAAAAAAAAGATACTTATAATAATTGTAAAAAGGGTTACCTTAATAGGGTAAATTATATAGATTTCGTAATTCATTTTTACTCGAATTAAACTTTTTCTATAAGTATCAACCTTTTTTTTTTGTAATCTTTATATGGTTTATTTTATATATTTCCCAAGTTTTATTTTTATTAATAATTTTAAGTATTTATAGCAACAATAATGGTTAGGAGCTTAAATAGGATCTGGAATAAATTTATTAGCTTTGAATTCCCTACCAAAAGTTTGTAATAGTTTGACAGAATTCGCATAGAAGTTTTTTTATAACTCAAGCATTAGTCTCTGATTTATTTTTGTTCTCTGTATTTTTAATGGCATTAAAAAAATATAATTTTTAATGAAATACTTCATGTGTGTACTTTTAATAATACTTACAAGTAATAACTTAGAGATGCAGCAACTTGCTATTTTTTACTTAAAAATATAATAGGACTATGCTTTAATATTAATAACAAATTTAAATATTAAAAACTGATTAATAATCGGGGTTATTTAATCAATTATTGTAGGAGCCATAAGACCTTTAATCAAGCATCTTTATAGAAACTTATGGCATTTTATTCCATACATTATTTAGGATGTATGTAAAACTTTATTAAAACTTATATTGCCATTTCAACTATCCTTTTAGAGCGCCCGCTCATCTTATTTCAAACGAAATTCGACATACGGCAGTGGTTTCTCATAACGAACACACAACCGCTGGTTGTCTGGTTCTACCGAGAGAGCTATTTGCGCTTCAGCTCCCAGGAATACAGCTTGAGCAATCACCACGAGTCGGTGCATCTGACAAACTACGCCATCCAAAAGAAATACACGAACGGGAAGCGCGACAAGCGACTGCCCAGCGAGAACATGTGGGACTGCTACTCCTTCCAAGCCTATCTCCGGCAAATTGGCAAACACAACATGTGGCTGGAACGCATCTATCCGGGCATGCGTAAAGCGATTGTGGGCACAATGCTGGCCTCGCAGGAGAATATGGATCGGCGACCTAACACATTTGAACTGTTCGGTGCAGACTTCATGATTTGCGAGAATTTCTATCCCTGGCTCATAGAAATCAACTCGAGTCCAGACCTGAGTGGTTCCACAAGCGTTACGGCCCGCATGTGTCCACAATGTCTGGAGGATGTGGTGAAGGGTGAGTAGCCTAATTAGCGGATACAATTGAAGCAATACAGCTCTGTCTCTCTCTCTGTCTGCAGTGGTTATTGATCGTCGCTTGGATCCCAAGTCGGAGTTGGGCAACTTCGAGCTGGCCTACCGGCAGGTGGTGCCCCCAACGCCCGCCTACATGGGCCTCAATCTGTTTGTGAAGGGCAAGCAGCTAATACACAAGACGAATCAGAGTCACAATCATTACTACTACCAGCAGCACCGCAAGGAGCGCAGTCTAGCCACCAGCAGCGTCTTTCGCCAGCGCTCAGCAATCATACCCACAACCATTTCGCGCATACACCGCGCCATGCCCACTTTCAATGCCACGGAGTATATGGAGAAGCACATGGTGGAGCCTCTGAACAGCAATCGCAGCAGCATAAGCGTTAGCAGCACTCAGCAGCCCCCATCTCTCAGCTCGCTGAGCAGCAGTGCTCGCCAGAAGTCGCCGGCCACACCCCTACCCATCTCACCCTGTCCGTATCTGCTGAAGCAGGCGGGTCGCTCCATCACCCAATTGCTCAGTGCCACGCACAAACGAAACCCTGCCTCTAGCATAACCGAGTCCCAAGTCAATGCACTGCCACCCAAGCGTCAACGCAGCTGTGGGCCACGCCTCACCTCCAGCCAGATAGAAAGCACCGAGCGCAAGTTCAAAATACTCATCAAGAACTATACGCGCAGCGACACTACATCCGAGCACGCTCTAGCCAGCAGAAGTGAGAACAATTTGCAGGATTTGACAGCAGGAGATGCTGCTTCCCGTCCAACGAGCAGCAGCAGCGCCAAGAAACAGGAAGCGACCAATGCGTCAGCCACTGCGCCGACCATTAGCGAGCGGAAGTGGCGTAGTTTGCGCAACATCTCCTCCACAGGCACTTCGATAGCAACAACGTCCAGGACGAAACCTGCACCCACTAACACTACTGGCCCCGCCACACGTCGGTTTATGCGCACCAAGTCCGAAATTGAAAGCACAGCCGGCATGCATGCGATAGGCCGCACCTTTGGACGCAAATCGAACGGACCTCGTCTGCCCATCAGCATATCCGTGCAGGCTCTGCACCGAGGTGAGCCAATTGTGGCGGCCATGAAGCAGGCTACGAGCGAACTCCAGCTGGCACAAGCACAAGTTATCAGTCCACGCACGGCTTTGGCCGGAAAAATGACGAGCACCATCTCGGCATCCACATTGGCGCCGCCTATCAGTTCCACCCTAAGCAGTGCTTCTATGTGATGCTGTCCTCCTATTCAATATCAATTAGTCAAGGTAGTTAGGTACAGGTGTTGAAATAGGTACTTTTGCTTAGGACCATACCTAGTATGGAGAGCAAAGAACCCTGTTAGTAGAGCTTTTTAAGGAGCACGTTTAATACAAAGTAAGATGATGAAATGTTGTGAGTCTTGTTTGGTGACCCCCTCGCTTTTATGACGTGATACACGGACAAACCAAAGAAGATTGACAGTAGATACTATATCTACGCAGTTATTAAATTATCATTATTAGGTAGCTTCTCTAATTCCATGTAAAATTGAAATTCTAAGTCACTAAGAAGATGCAACATTTGAAAACCCCCTCTCTCTCTATGATCGGCGGAATATGTATCCAGTTATTAGAGATAATTAAAAACACCTCTAATTCAAAGTAAGAAAGAAAAAGTTTGAGTTTCTAAAGCATATAGTACAATGCCTAACATATCGTATTTAATACACTACCATACTCGTGCAGACAGATAAACTGTAATATTTACCTATATAGCGGTAATATTAATGCCTTTTAAGGGGTACTTCAAAATAAAATCTCTCAGTCAGCTCTCCTTCTCCTTCAATGTTTTCCACATTTAAATATTTATATCGGGTAATAATCAAGTATTATACATTTCAGTCTATCTCTCTTCAGGCGATCTCTCATGGGCCTCCAGTTATTTTATTGCCTCAACCCATTACTTGGGTTGTGTATCTATTTTTGACGCCGTACATAGACCACTAATTACAACTTAAACGCACTTAGACACGTGTATTTTTCTAGTTAAATATCATAATTGCGTATTTTTATTGTTATCGGAAATAATGTTTAGTGTGTATTGTAAGATATTCATGTTTAATATATACATACTATATATATATTTTAAAAACTATTACGAATTTCTCATCACTTAATTGGTTTCTCGTTTACTTCTATGCAATTTTCTTATCTCATTAATTGGCCTTTAAAGGACGCCTTATGAGATTATATCCTTCGCTGTAATGATTAGCTGCTTGTAGAAATTTATATTTTAGTGAACAGACGATTATATATGTAAATACCCTTTCCAGTGGTTTTATTTAGGCGCAGTATACTGTAATGCCAAGTTTTCACGTATTGCTGAGTTTAAAATCGTTTTGCCACCAGTTCCGATCGCCGTATTCGTCATAGAGACTTGTCGGGAAGGGGAAGCGGAGCTTGATTTTGAATCAGCCGCGCTCTTTGAATTTTTCTTTCAAATTAGGTGTTGAGTGAAAATAGAGTATTTCGTATACTCGCACGTGTGCTTACCCTTTTATGTTTGCTGATCGTAGCCTTTGTCGTTTTCTTTGAAACGTGCTCTTTCTCCTTCTCCTTCTCCTTTCCGCCCAGCTTCCGACTCGTCGATGACTTCACATTGTTCAAAATTTTGCGCAAAAAGCGGGTACGGGTCTTAACCTTTGGCAGAGCATCGAATAGAGTCATTTGAATGCCGCTCAATTCCATCTGCTGCTGGGAATCCATCGCCTTATTGAGGTTGTACGAGACCTCAAAAGCACGCTCAAAGAGACCCGTAGGCGCCATTGGATTCTTGCTCAAGTCCACCACCACGCGAATGCAGTCCTTGAGCGCCATCGGGCAGATGCGTGCAGTCACCTCCGTTGAAGGCGACAAATCGGGCGTCGAATTGATCTCGATCAGTATCGGATTGTAGTGCTCGTCCAGCATGAAGTCGCAGCCATATAGCTCAAAGGCGTTCTGAACCAACTCCGTCTCATCCAGACTGGCCATGACCACAGCCACAAGATTCTGCTTCATACCATTATAGATGTGGGACCAGGTATTTTCTGGAGCACCCACATGTCGGAGATGACTCTTGAACTGATCCAGCGACCACATATTGTGTTTGGGCAGACGGGAATCCCGATTCATTTTATTCTTATAGCGCTTCTGCACTGAGTTATTGGTCAAGTGTATAGACTCCCGCAAATCATCCATGGTGAACTCCTGGGAGCTAAACCGCAAATAGCAATCCCGATAGGTCCAAATAGTCACCAGCGACTCGGTGATAGTGATCAACATGTACTGGCGTATGTCGAACTTGGTGCGATAGACGAGCAAAGGGCGTTCTGCATATAAAAACAAAGAAGGAATGCAACAGTTGAATGTGAAATTCACATTTTAGGTAGCTCAATATATAGATGGATATACTACGATAATCGGCATAATTCGGCATAACGAATTACAGTTCATAACAACAACAATATGTCCGCAAATATTTTTTATGTAAACTCTTCAGTCTGGCCTTAAATGTTATAAAAAATGTGTTGTACCTTATAAAACGCAAACCAAAGAAGACTATTTCCGAGGAGAGAGCTAGCGGAAAATTCTTTTAAGCTACCCACAAAGAGAGAGAGAGAGAGAGAGAGCTGTAATCTCGGAGGCAAACATGAGAAAGCAAAATTTATATATATAAATTATACTATATGTTTATAAGCCTATCTTTCTGGCTGTATAAATGCTCTCTTTTGAAAAATTTGAAAAAATGCAATCAACTTTGTTAAATAACACGCTTCCCGATTAATGTTTTGGGTCGCTATCATGATGAAACCGGAAACACTCCCGCAAACCCAGCACGTTGGCACTATCGTGAAAACTGTCCTTTTATATGCTGAGGTAGATAGTTTTGTCCATGATCCCATCCATAACAAGAGAGATTGCTAGAAAGAGTCGAGCAAGCCCGAGAGTGAAATATCCTGCACCAAAACAAACCAAACGCAGAACCAAAAAGAAGAACAAGAAACGAGAAACGAGAACCCGCTGCTACAGTTTGTAGTCGTAGTACTGGAGTGAAATTGCTTACATCCTAACAGAACGCATAATGGAGCTTTTAAAATTTGTTATAAATAAAAACTATTAAGAAAACCTTTCCGAAATGGGCAATCACTTCGAATAACCATTAATATGAGCTACCTAATTAGCTATTGAGCCCAAAATATGGTGACTTACCAATATACTTTTGCACAATATACTTCTTGTTCTGATTGTTCGTCGTCCACTGCAGAATGTCATCCAGGGAGTTGCGTATTACAATGCCGATTCCACGCGACTGATAGCCCGGCTTCAGTATCCATAGATTGCGACAACCATCCCAGCAGTAATCGGGTCGTACAGACTCGATTTGTTCGAGGTATTGTGCGGCGAGTCGCGCATACTCGGACATTACCTTCTCAGAGATGCGGAACTTGGCCTGCGACTTGTATACCTCGGATGCTTGGAGCATAAACGTTTGGTTATCCACCATTTCGGCGGGCGTGGGTGGCTTTATGGGCTTGTCCTCCAAGGCCTTGGGATCCGCAAAGTTCATCATATTCCTCACCCTATTCAGCGCAAAGTCCAATGTGCTACTGAGAATGGTGCCGTTTTCGGGATCTGCCAGCTCCTCGGGACTGTGCTCCTTGATGTAGCGGAGCAGCGAACGCGCCGCCGTCTGCTGGAAGTCCTCAATAAAGGCCAACCGCTCCTCCACACTATTGCCGCCCAGGCGATAGAAACGTGGATGGCTCATGGCGCAAACGCCCTCCTCGCGAAACCAGCGCTCCTGCTCGGCGCAGCCCACCAATCCCACCTTCGTGGAGAAGTCCAGGAACTGGCTGCGTCTCACGCGATTTCGATAGGGCAGCACCTCGGCGCACTGATCGCGTTGACCCTTCCCCTGCCAAATGAAGAAGGCCGGAAAGTGGTTGATCATCTTCGATATGATGACGGCTTCGTAGTCATTGCCGCGACGCGCATGATCCAGCAGCACGTCTTCCGGCATGGTCTGCAGCTTAGCGAAGCGGGCGGGCGGCAGTTTCTCCAGCCAGCCACGACGCATCAGAGCTCGCCGAACCGTGTGGTAGTTGCCGTAGACGGTGAAAATGCGACGGTTCCGATACGCATCGATAACACGCGTTCGATAGACATTCCGCATCTGGCGCTTGTGCGCCTCCGGAGTAAGAGTCCGTTGCGACGTCGACGAGATGCTGTTGGAGCGAGCACGCGATAGCAGAGCGTTCAGGCTGTCCTTCTGCTGATGGCTGCTGCCCAAGCTGCTGCTGTGCGCGCTGAGACTGTTGCTGTTGTAGTTGAAATTAGCCAACGGCTTGGGCACGGAACATTGCTTGCACAGCTGCACCAGCTCGGCGTCCAGATTGTGGATGAGCGACTGAATCTTTGAGACGGGATTGTAGTAGCGGTTGCGTGGCGAATTAAAAGTCGATGGCGTCTGACTCATGGTGATGTGTGGGTGTGTGGATCGCGACTGCGACTACGGCCAGTAATTGAACGATATTGCCGGGGAGTGGGAGCGCTGAGCCGTCCCTGTGCGTCTCTGTTTTTTGGTCCGTAGCCAATGCTGTTGCAGCTGATTGCCGGTATTAACGAGAAATTTTGAAGCAGAAGCCGAACTGTTTCTATCAGTATCGCATTTAGGAACGAAAAATCTTTATGGATTTAAAAAACATTTCTTTGCATGAAATCACAGGCCGAAACAATAAAAAATTTTGATACCCAAAACTTTAACGAACGAGTGTGAAACAAATCTGTTGAAACTAAATGATTACAAGCATAGGGAATGCATGTTTCCAAAAATTTGAATGATGAAGCAAGGCAAAAAAAATTACTAGGGACTCCATTAACCAATCATGTATACAGACTTATCTAGAATGACTTATTAAGAATGCATTAAGAATGGGGTCAGAGATGCTTTCTTCTGCCTATTACCTAATTTGCATTAGCATAATGTACCCCTTAAAAACATACCCAAAACTTCGCTTACGTCCTTTTTCAACCAAATAATAAAATGTCAAAACATTCCTCTGCACCAAATAATATCATAATTTATTATGTTATCAATGTCAACTAATTGCTGAAACCCAGATTTTAGTTTTACTTGAACACTTAATATTTAACAAACAATCCCCTATTTTTATACCCTGTACCCGTCGGTTAAAAAGGGCATATTAAGTTTGTAGTATTAAGTATGTAACAGGCAGAGGGAGCTATCTCCGACCCCATAAAGTATATATATTCTTGAGCAGCATGACGAGACATCGATCCAGACATGTCCGTCCGTCTGAATGAACGCCTGGATTTCGGGAACGGTTGATCGCAAATTAGCCAAACTTGGTATATAGATGCTCCTGGTCCCTAAGCTACACGAGTTAATTTTATTTTTTTGATTTTCTCTCCCCTCCCCCCGCCACAGAATTTCGTCAATACTGTCCACATTTTAAAAGCAACGCAAGTTTGCACTCGTAGTTATTATATAAATATTTACTTTATATTTTATCCAAATCAGTCTATTCCAAGAAATGTTATTAGCAGAAGAATTTCACTCAAGTACTACGCCCATAAGCTTCAGTATAAAGTTCACTTTCTTCTTTTTGCTTCTGCTATGGGCGCATATAGCTCAGTGACGGAAGTTTGTCTGGGTACAGGGTATTCCACTGTCGGGTTTGCTCAACTGTTGCGTTCTCTCTCGTTTATATACAGCATGTTAGCCTATTTGGCAAGAAAACATGCAACATGTAGAGCAAAAAGCTAAAAAATACGCATTTGTAGATTCATTAAATCCTTCTATACCTTTCAAGCAATACCATGCCACAGCTTTGAAATAAAGCGTTGAAATTTTTGTTTTCTGAACGATAGATTAAACCAGGATTCTCGATGTTGAAATTTCATATGAAAATGTTTTACCTGTAGAAATCAATGCCCATAAGTAGATGACATTATTTTATAATCCGTTTCAGAAATGATCCATAGAGAAGCAAACGAATGGTAAACATCTGAAATAAGAATAATATAGATGGATGAGTTACATAGGTAACATTATCTTATACTATAAAATTTCGAATATAGCTAAAAAGTCCTTGTAAAGTTAGATGTAGATGCTTTCAAAGCTAAGAGTTTCCGAAAAGTAATGAATAATATTTAAAAATAAATAAATATTACTTGTAATCCTTCCTTTATTTCCTAGATACATATTTAATTATCGCTGCTAAATATACGAACAAGACGGATCAAAAAGAGCTTTAAGGCAACTATTGGGCCTGCCAACATATTTTTCTTTTAAGAGCCGAAAGAATAATACCTTGGTGCAACCGTAGGTAAATCTTTGAATAGTTACAAAATGTTAAACTCCATTTCAACGCCAATAAAAATAACCAATTAAGAATACTATACAGTATGGTTTGCCTAACGAGCCAATGGAATAAAACTTCGATCTTAGGGCTTATCTGAACCCAATTAGGGACAATTCAGGGCTGTATGTATTGACACTCCCAGCATATTTTTTTAAAGAGGTAAAAGTTAAATGTTTGGATTTTGCCAAAGCTTAAATCCTTTATAAGCGATACAAAATGTTTTGTCCTTTCTATCTACTTTTTCAATAAAATTAAACTTCGGTCGTAAACCACCTGTCAAGCTCGGAAAATTAGCACAAAAGTGCCTCAAATGTTTTAAATTTATATTTTTAATTTTTTGGCATTATTCATAAAAATTATTTATCAAAAGAAACATTTATTTCCTGAGCTAAATCTGTAGTTCTTCCCATTTTCGTAAATAAATGATAAAAAAAAACCTTGTTCTAATTTATTTTTTAATAAATGTTAATTTATATTTACTTTTGTTGGTTTGTTGTTTTTGTGTTTTCTGTTTTCAAATATATATGGTACATATAAAAAACCCCAAAACGGAATTTTCGCCTTTACTAAATTGTTAGTGTTTTTTTCTTGTATTTCATTTGCTTCTCACAATATTATATAAATATGTACATACGATTTACTTGTTTTGTTTGTTTGTTGTTTTTTATATAAATTTAGTTGTTTAGTTTAGTTGAGGGATTTTAGATTAGTTTTTAACAGAATTTAACAATTAAACCAATTCGCTCAAATTACATAACTTAATGATTTGCTTCTTCTTCTATAAGTGTTTCACAAATTTAGGTTTAGGTTACACATCGTAAATATTTGTTTACTTTATTATTATTATTATTGTAATTATTATTATTCGTTTAATGCTACAGTTACATGAAATATTTCTGGTGTGGCTTACGCATTTCTGTTCGACTTCTCAATTTTGCTAATACAGTTGAAATAATTTCATTAAGTAATTGTTTTATTAGTAATAGTTTATAGTTTATATATATATACGTATAAATTAATTAATACAATATATTTATGTATTTTTTCATTTGTTTTGTTTTTGTTTTTCAACTTAGAGACAAGCGTTAGTTGCAGTTTTGGTTTTTGTTCAAATAAAATAATAAAACCCATGAACTAATTTTTACATTTTTATGGTGGTTTCCATTCAATTTCTTTTCCATTTTCCATTTTCATGCAGACAGAAAAACAGGCAGTTTGTATGAAAAACATACATGGATACGTCTTTTAATCATAAGTACAAAGAATGTTTTACAAATATATGTTTTGTGATGGAAAAAACGACTTTTTCGATATAATCTAAATATGAACTTTAACAATAGTCGAAAGAGCATAATAAGCTTGCCATTTATTAACTAAATTAATAACAACTTAAGAGTGTTTTGTTTTGAAAAACAATGGATATGCTTTTTGGGTTTTAATTTTTAATGTAAGCCAAACGGTTGTAAGTTAAATAAATGTATAGTATATATTTGCCCAATTTGTTGTAGCTGCTTGCCTAAGTATACATAGGTGTATTTATATCGTAGCTATCGGATGAAAAACAAGACACACAATTGTAGAAAACTGCAGACTTTTAAAAAGTCTCAATAGCTCCGATTGGAGCTTTCACAGGGCAGTACAATTTTGAAAAGCTAACGACCATACCACCGGACAAATCAATTTTCAAAGCAGTTGCTAAATGGTGTATATATATACTATATATATGTAGATTCAATATATGTTGTTGTATTTCTTCTAATTTCAATAGTTTAAGTGGGCGCCTGAAACTTTCCATAAAGTTCACTTCACTGTGCCTTTTAATACTTTGCCGTTAGTTACACATATGCTTGTTTATTATATATATAATTTCTCTATATATAAGTGAGCTTTAGCTGCGACTGTTATTATGCCTGATTGTTGTGCATGTTTTGTTTTGTTTAGTTTTTAGTTTCAATTGGAGCGCCTGTATTTTTAAAGTTTAAAGCCTTCACATTATAAACAAAAAAGTGTATACAGTATATATGTAAAAAATTAAAAATGCTGTACATAATGTGTTCATAAAAATTATATAACAAACAAGTTTGGTTACAAAATTTGGTACGAAGCACTCCTCTCTCTATCTATCTCTCTGTCCCTCTTAAACAAAATACTGTTAGTCTATTGCATGCCCAATTGTTGTTCATAAAAATTAATAATAATTATACAGTAAAGCACTTACCAGAAAGGCCTATCAACTCTATAAATTATATGTCACTTTGTTAAAAAAAATTAAACAATTAAATGATTAGCTTCTAAAACTTGTACATTCTAGCAGCGCCGCATGGCTGTCTGTCTGTTGTCTGTTGTTGGCTGCTACATAAGTTATTGTTGTTGTTGTTGATGTTGTGGTTGTTGTTGCACTTTATAGAGTATGTATGTGCTATGTCTTGTATACATTGTCTTGTTATATGTATGACTATGCGTGTATTTATATATTTATATATAGACGTGCATTATGCGTGTGTGTATATGTGTCTTCAGTGTGTGTTGGCCAACGTGTTGGCCAGGAGTCTCTCGCGTTGCGTCTCTCGGTCTCACTGTATTACATTTTGTGGCTTATAGTTGCGTCGGAACGCTTAGGAATCGTAGCTCTCGTATCAATATGCATGCCGCTACACCCCACCTTGAATTCCTTTACTTCTTTCATTCTTTTATTCATTTCGTGTGCTTTCTTCCTTCTTATTGTATTTATTTATAATTTGTATTCTTTATTCATCCACCGATGTTGTAGGCGGACTATAGCTGCATCAGGATGCGCTACGCTGCTCGTTCTCCGGCCGTCGATCTGTGGCTATTTGCAGCAAATTATTGAACTCTGTCTCGAGCGCTTGACGTGCCTGTAAAAACAAACATTTATTGTTAAATCGTGCGAGACAAATAATTGACCAAAACAAAAACTCACCTGCGCATTTTGTGTGGGTATTTGCAATGCGAGACCCATTGCATTAGCATCAAAGCCCTCATCCAAAGCCATTAGAGCACCGTGCACACCCGATTCGAGCAAATTGTTGGCATATTCCTGCAAAATAGGCAAGCAACATTCAAAATTACCATTAAAAGCACACTAAATATTACTAATAAAAGAGATTAATGAATAAACCATTAACTTTACAGGATATACCGATTTCTTGTAAATTTAATACTTCATAGTGTGGGCATTTTTAGGGTATTAGAACTCTGGTATGTATTGTGTTTCTTTAATAACATTTTACTGCTAAGCTTAATTAATAATGAATTAATTAACCGTTAAACAAAACAATTTAGGCACCCAAAGCGGATTAAAGACATTATTTATAAAAACTAATTCCAACCACCTAATCGCTTGTATTCTTTTGGCAACATTTTGTGCAGTGTTGTGAATGTTGCTGGATGCAGCTAGTGTTGCCAGCTTGCAATGTTGCTGGAAGCAGCTAGTGTTGCCAACTTGCGATGTTGCTAGCAGCTTTACATAGTGGATAATGTTGCCAGCTGCTGTTTTCAGCATAATGTTGCAAACGAAAAACAATAGTTCTGATGAACTTTATTACAGCAATCAAAAGGTTTCTTAATTTGGATTGTTTGGAAATATTCTTGAATCAAAATGTCAGGCCAAATGTGGCGCTGGTGGACAAAGCATCCGTAGGCGGTGACCATTGCCCTATCAGCCACCGCAAAATTATTATTATTTGGAAAAAAATAGGTGCTAAGAAGAAACCTAAATGCGTCTCGGTTCAGTAACTACTTTATAAATGAATTTTGAAAGAAATGCACAAGCAACTCTATCTATTAAAGCCATCAACCTATTTACCTACTATAAGACAGTTTCACGCATTTCCAACGTTAGTAATACCTTGCAAAAAGTAACGTAAAAGATACATATTATTGAAGATAAACTTAACCTGCCTATGAATAAAATAGGTCTACATTTTAAGCACAGACAACTTAGTGTGCCTTTTCATCCTTCTGGTACAGGTTATACAACCATGGCCCATGTTTGTTTGCCATTTGCCGTTTTAAATTGGCTGTTTTTAGAGTTATTTACCCAAATAGGAACTTGTTATAGAAATTATCAGCGTTTTTTCAACATTTCGAGAATAAATGAAATTAAAATGCAATTCACAATTCAATAAAAATTTATGTATAATGGTTGGTAATTAACGCACCTTCAGTCCTATGCTGCTAACCCAGCGTATGACACGCTCATTACTCCACACCAACACATCGCACAGACCGTTTTCGCTCATCTTGCGCCTGTGCTCCAATTCGGTGCGATCGTAATTTAATCGTTTAAGCATTGAGATGCCATACTGTAAGCTGGTGCGATGAAAACTATCCACCATTTTGAGCTGACCACGCAAGTCTTTCTTGGTCAAATGATCCAACATGCGTGCATCGACTAGACACTCCATGAAGGTTGTGCGATATTGCGGAAGTCCCAAGCCGGGCAACCAATAATTCCCTATCCATTCGTGATTCATGTCGCCTACACAATACAAATAAAGTGTTATTAATATTTATTTCAAAAGGGTGAGCAGCCTTGCTTACCAAACGCCAATGTGGTCCGTGATGTTTGAGGCGCCGATGGTGAGGTTAATGAAACCATTTCCTGTATGGCCAAACGCAGCTTTAGCCGATGCAGTGGATTGCTTATGCCTATGAAGGATCAAAAAAGGAACAATAATATATATGCAAATATAATTGTTTTTTGAATCAGTTTCAGTAATTTTCTCTGTAGTTAAGGGAGCTTACTAATACTTTTCTTTCTTAAGCAATCCTATATTTTACGAATTGCTGAATCTTTGTTCTTCGTATTTCTTGATCAAGCTAGCTGTTTCTCTTTTTTTGTCCAACACCTCACCTATTTCACGCTGTATCTCCGTATCACTGAGAGCGCTCATAATGGCGCCCGATTTAACGTTGGCGCGACAGGCGGCCACATACCAAGCTGGCATGCCGACCCACAACTCCAGCCAGGCCACGATAGTTGGCCCATTCCACAGGGCAAATGGCGTGCCTGCCTTCATGGCCTCGCCCAACAAATCATTGCGATAATCGTGCTCTCTGTGAAACAACAACCAAGAACATGAATTAGCAATGCTACTAAAACAAAGATCAGAGTTACGAGCTTACTTCTTCTGCCGGCCATAGTCTACGCTGCTGATCTTGGAGCCTTGGGCGCTAGCAATTCGCGGCATCATGCCGCCCGTTATGCTCATGGCATCGTAATTCGAGTCCACTTCGCTGAGACCAATAGACAGATTGCCTATAGACATCATGCTGGGCGAACCATCGGGCAGTGTGTCCTTAACACCCTTCACCTTCTCCTTTTTGCTAAAGAAGCGGCCAAGCGACGACTTGATGCCCTTCTTCTTTTGCACGGCGGCCGCTGAGTCACGCGACGACACGCCCGATGTGGGCGTCTGCAGCATAGACATGCTACCCATGGTATTGTAATGACGCAACGATTCCTGACTACCGTACCGGGAGCTGAGTGGCGACAGTCCGTAGTTGTGACTACTGAGGGGCATGTGGCTGCTGTGATTGCTGTGTACACCGCCACCAGGTGCGCCAGCATTGGGTGCCAGACCAATGGAACGACGACGCAGCTCCTCCTGACTGTGCGCCAAGGCTTGCGCCACACGCTCCAAGCGCATGGAGCGCGCTGTCAACGGTGAGGCAGCACCGCCTGAGCTGGAGTCCCCAGTGGTCGACATGCCGCCATGAAGCTCGTCGCGTGAAGCATCACTGGATAGCACCGGCAAATTAAGCTATAAAAGCAAATAGCATTAGTAAATAGGATATATTATTAATTAATTATCAAGATACTTTTGATTCTTCTTTTAATGAATTCCCCATTTTAGTTTATTAAAAAACACGTTTAGTTATCACAAAAGTGTACAGCCCTGGGAGCGAAACTCTGCTCTTAAGTGGTTCATTTCTCAACTTCAACAATTTGTGGACAAATAGTAATTAATTGTTAATGCTTCATTCACCGACGGAATTCGCTTTCTTGCTTCTTTACTGGAGAACTGTGTCAGAAGATGGAATGTTCGACTTAACCCCGCAAAATATAATAACATGAAGTTTTACCCTCTGTAGCGAAGAGGTAACTGGGGTATGAGTAAATGATTAAATACTACGGGTGGATAATAAGGCTAAACATCCGCTTAATCCAAGCTGTATCTGCGCTGCAAAAGGTCTATCTTTAATTGCATAATTACATCAATCTAGCGATATGGTAACCAGATTTGGGGATTGGCTGCAGCTCCCTTTTGAACCAAGACGTATTACTGGCTATGATCGGTATGGGCTCGGATACCGTGACAATTCAGAACAACAGGCCCGCCATTCGATACAACGATTACGAAATAAAATAGTATCCCGAGTAATGGCCGCTCCAACCCAGTCTAACCACAGTTTTAAAACCTGTTTCAAATACTTAGATTCTCCGTTTAGGCACAAGTTTTTGAACCGCTGCTGAACCTGGCTGGGACCAAATTGTTCCACCACTCTAAATAACAATACTCAAGTTTATAGCTGTTATAATTTTTCTCTTTGAAAAATAACTTTGATAGTTTGCTTGTACTTAGGTTAAAAGATTCAATATCAATGATAAATAGAATCGTTTGATAGTTTTTTAAATGAAAAATACCTAGCATCTTTAAAAAATGGTTCGATAGACTTTGACCTACAATAATATATTATATATATTATTAATATTCGAAGCTGAATCAATCAATTAAGGTAAAAGTAAACTACTATATAGTTGTAACTAAAGTCCTTACCGTATGATACTTTTGCATGAAGTCGCGTTGCGGACTGTTCGGCGTGCTGCGTCCACTCATGGGGGGACTCTGTCTATCCATGGAGCGACCGCGTGCCAACAGATTGACGTGCTCGAGACTGCCAACGCGTGACTCCAGCTCCTCGGCGCGCGCCTCTGTCGACTGTTTCTCCTCCTGAATGAGACGAATCTCGTTATTAATGGCATCCAGCTGCTCCTGCAGCATCATGGCCAGCGTTTGGGCATCTGTGTGTCCCGACGGCGACATCATGTCCGCCGTGGCTGCGGCATAAAGCGCCTCACTGTCGTCGCATTCGGCAGCGGTGGCCAATTCGTAGGCCTGCTGCGCATGTACCTGTTGCATATTCTCCCACTCCTGCTCGGCCATCGAGCGTGCTATGGCGTTCTCTTCCGATAAACGGGACTTGTTGCGGCGCAGCGAATGCGTCTCGAAGCTGGCATGGGAAGCGCTGCGTGTAAAGGCGCTGCCATCCACGACACTGCTCGGCGAGAGACTGCGCGTCAATGCCTCCGTCTGCTGTATATTATAGGCGATCTCTTGCTGCAGCAGCTGTCGCTTGAAATTCTCAATTTCCAGGCGCGTCTTCGAGAGCTCCTTCATGATTTCGCTCTTCTCGTGGTGCAACTCCTCGGCCACCTTGCGTGCCTTCTCCAGCTCTTGGGTGAGCGCGTTTTTCTCGTCCAGCGCATGCATGCGCTCCTTAAGGTGCACCTGCAAGCGTTCATTGGACTCGGAGAGCAGTTTGTCCACCGTCGAGGATAAGCGCAAGTTGTGCTCCTCGTTCATTTTGAGGCGTTGGTTCAGTCTTACCACCTCGGCCGTCTTCTCATCCAGATTGGCCTCCAAGCCGCGTATACGATCCTCTGCTGAACCATGACGTTCCTGAGCCTGCAATGGGAGGGAGCAACAATCAGTTGAGTAGAGACGAACACAGCGGGTGTAGGTAACATAAATATACATTCAGTAATGAAAGCTAAAATGGTAAGTCTTCAAGTAGTGTGCAATAGAGATGGGTGCGTGAAAATCATCAAACTTTTCAGTGAAATTCGTTGAACTCTTTCAGCGTTTAAACTTTTCTCATATACAACTGATTAAACTAGAATCCAGCATTTTGTTGCTAAACAATTAAGAGTAACTTAATTAGAAAATCAATTTCAACTTATGTCAATGGAACGGTTTTCAAGCAATTGGAAATAGGGGAAGGGCTTCCAGTTAAGTCATTTTGTTTGACCATTAAATTAGAAAAATGAAACACACGTCCAACATCTTTTAGTAGACACAAGTTTAACTTTTTTTAGTGGAGCGATTATAGGATTCGTTTAATTTCACTTTATTTTTTTTTGGTTTACTAAAATTTAACACAACTCCAACATCTTTTGGTAGAGTGGTTCTTTAGAATTTCTAAAAGGATTGAATGGTCGATTTATTGAATTGTTACCCAGTTTGTAAATCACTCTTAACAGAAGTAAAAATCTAATGTAGATATTAAGTACATTCCAGATAAGCATAGACGCTTATGAAAACCGCTTTCGTAGAGTCGTCTACGTTTAAAAAACTCTCTTGTATAAGTTCCGACCAGTATAAGCCATCTAAAAACTGGTTTTGCATCTGTACGAGTACACCTTTAAATCTGAACCTTACCTTACTGAACAATTCTTTATATGGAAATAAAATACTTATAAGCCTCTTTGCTTAAAAAAAACTCTTTCTTAGCCGTTTTAAAACTGCAATTGTTTTTGGACCGTTTCTAATGCAGTCTTAAGCTTTAGACAGTACGGAAATAAAAATTTCCTATAATCTTCGCACTACAAAATGTCAACAAGATGTTCTAAAAAATTGTTTATAACATGAATTGACAGGTTTATGAAAAACATTAAAGCCAGTTGTGATTTGGAGTGACAATTTACGAAATACCGATGTGTGCTTTGCTTCACGCGCCCATCTCTACCATGAATTGAATTTGAATTGATGAAAAAGTGCTCGTGGTTTGCCTTTTTTGGTTTCTTTTTTTTCAGTGCATATAAAGAGGACAATGGAGTTTCTTTTGTTGTTTTCGTTGTTGTGGGGGAATTGTAGATTTTGTAGTTGTTGTTGTTTGTTGTTGTTGTAGAAAAATAGGCATATAAATAATAGACAGACATACATAAAAAGGTAGTTAATTAAAATTTTATACTTTGCTTTTGTATGGAACCTGTCGGCGCGCATATTAGTTCGAGTGCATACCTTATTTCCTACCTTTGTCAATGCCTCCATGCGCGCCTTCAGCTGCTCTTCCATGTCTGGCTGGAGTTTGGCATGTTGGGCTAGCTTTTGTTCGGATAGCTCCAGTTTCTCCTCAATGGCGCTTATTTTCTCCTCGTGCAACTGTGGGAGATTTTCGAATGGTGTGTGAGGAAGGGGCACAGAGATTATTAGTTAGTTTGGATGAAAGGGTGGGCCAGCAAGTGGTTTTTTGTTTCTCTCTGTTTGATTGTTGTTTGTTAGTCACGGGGCACATTTGTAACCATAATATGAGTAGCAAAAACCATAGCAGCCCCAAGCGTAGCTATTATTTTAAAATAAAAAACGGCACGTACCTTCAACTGCGCTACCTTGTGCCGCAGTTCCTGCTCGAGCTTCTCATTCAAATCGTGCAGAGATGTTGACTCACGTTGCGCATTCAAATAGCGCTTCTCCAGCGTGGCAATGCGTTCCTCCTGCAAAACATTAACAATTTGAGGACTTTCTTTTAAAGAAACGTGTATTGTGAAGAGCTCACCTGATCCTCCTTTTGTGCCACATTCTCACGCAAGTCACGCTGCAGCTTGGCGCATTGATCCTGCGACTTGCAGTGCTCCTTTTGAACACGAGACATGTTCTCCTCCATCTCGCTGATCTTGTTGTTTAAATCCGAAACTCTTCGCTGCCATTGCGAAAGCTCCGCCGTCTATAAAAATAAAGAAATACAAAATATTAATCGTCTTGCTAATATAAATTAACACTTTTTAGTTTATTTTAAAAGTGAATTCCTAGTCCATAAACTAATGTAGCATTTTTATGAAACAAAATACGAATAAATAATAATAAACTTGGAGTAAACTTTTTATACCAGCTGTGACTTTTTCTGTAGATCTATATATGTATAGCTTTAGTTTATAGTGTAATAATCTTGAATTGCGTTTGAATAAGGCAAGTCTATATATTAAGTTTCATGTCTAGCTGTTATAGTTCAAGAGATCTGGAAGTTCATACAGACAGACAGGCGAGTGAGATAAACAGAAGTTATGCTGACAATACAAATAGTGGATCAGCCACGCATTTAAATTCCTGATACGTTTATGATGGAGTTTTTAAGACACCCTCTTTTCATTCAGATAAAGCGGCACAGAAAAGCATTACTGTTTCAGAAGGTATGTATAAAATTGTATCACTTTAGAAAATTATTAATCCAACAATACATTTTTTTTTTCAATATTGTGGTTGTAAAATATTCTTGTTTATTTGTTTGCTAAACTTTGATTGACCACTTCACTAAAAGTAGTATAAATATTTTAAGAATAAATCACGCTTTCTTAATTAATGTAATTTTCTATCGGTATGATTTTCTCTAATATAATACTCTAATATAAAAATATATATATATATATATATATATATATATATTGGTTATGTTATTAAAAGATTTCAAAATCGGTATTGTTTCTATTTTTGCACTGCCTGGTGCTCAGTCTAGTTACCAATACCCCCTTCGCTCCCATATTTAGAACTCATAATAAACAAATTATGCGGAATAGTAGTGGATAAACGTGCTGAATTCTGAAAGTCGTTTGAGTTCAGATTTTTTGTCGTGGAACAGTACCACTAACCTATTTAAAAACCAAATAAATCAATCGTTTTTATGATTCTTCATAATACTGTCTATGGAACTATTTGTGACTAAAGCAATATTTTATTACTATATAGTTGTGAATTCGAACAAATTTAAAATTTAGTTTCTCGCTACTAAGCAGATATTAAAACGAATAAATTAATTGTTTATTCTGATTCTGCACAATTCTTTCGTACAGCAAGAGTTCTATATATTTAATGAAAACAATTTAATGAAAACAAAATTCGTCTCGATTGTCGTGAATGTAATCAAATATTTGTTGGATTTTTTTGGTTTTTGTTTTTCTGACGCTCCCATGTTGCACTCACCTGCTTCTCAATGATTGTTTGCAACTCGTGCGTCTTGGCCGCATAGTCATTCAGCTCGCTGGCCTCGCCATTTACACCGCCGCCTGCCAGCTGCTCAGAGCGTTCAGAGCATTAAACAATAACAAAACAACAAAAAACATTTAAGGTTAGCACGCTTGATTGCATAAATTGTTGAGCGTAACAGACGCCGACGCCGACGACGGCGATGACGACGACGCACCTTCTCTTTGACGCCATTCTCGCCGCTTGCGTTGCTGCCGACGCCGCTGCCCGCTGTGCTGCCATCGGTGCCGGCATTAGCGCGCTGTATTGCACCCGATTTGTATTGCGTTAGCTCATCTTTGGTTGTGTTCAGCTCCTCTTCCAGCATATTGTTCTTCTCGATGGACAGACGCAAGCGTTCACGCACCTTCTCGTCCAGGGCCTTGTGATGCTCGAAGAGCGATTTGAGCGCCTTCAGCACCTCCACCTCGCTGGAGACGCCGCTCTGCGCTGCCGCCTGACGCTTGACCACAGTCATGCGCAGCGAGCGCTCATGCCGCGACACCAGACACTCCAGATGCTCCAGCAGCAGCTAAGGCAGCAAAATAAAACATTTCAATAATAATATCCATGCTGCTTGTTTGCCTTTGAAACTTACGCGTGTGTTGTTGCGTTCCGCTTTCAGCTCACCAATTTCCTCATCACGCTCTAGCAATGTCTCTCGGGCCTGTGTCAGTTCCTTGGTCAGAGTGGAAAACTCCTGAGAAGACCAAAGCATTTTAGATAGGCACATTTAAGTTGTTTTTTTAAACTTACCTGCGGCAAATTAGCGTTGATTTGCCGCTGCAGGCTGTCCCGCTCCTTCTCCACATCGTGCAGCTTCGACTCCGATTCGCCCAGACGCTCTTGCGCCTTTTGAAAGGTAGAAAGAAAACTTAACTCCATATCTGTTCATATCTAACAATATAACTACAGCACAATTACCTCGCGCAGGCTGTCCATAAGCTTGTCCCGCTCATCCAGCATGGAGACCATAAGCTGCTCAAAGTTCGCATCCTCGCCGCTGAACTGTGAGGAACGCTGCGATATGCTATCCTCCGATATTGTGGGCATTACGTCGCACATCATGTTCCACATTATTTAGTTGGCCGCCAGACCACAACACACACACGCGCATGCAAAGCTGCTGCCCACCAAAAAAAAGGTAAAGGAAATTCGAAATGGAAATCACAATATGGGATTTGGGAGAGCGCTTTTTAATACACATGTCGACCAAATGCGATCGTTATGGCTTAGCCCACACGTCCTCCCACATGGTCGACCACTTTTTAATTTGTTTACGTTTGTCCGCCCGCGCGCCTTCTGTCAACGTTTCCAGTCCAATTGGGCCGACATGTGAAAAACATGTCTAATAAGACTTTTATCATAGGCGCCGCATTGATAACAAGTTTTCTACAACGGCTCACATACACACACACAGACATACTGTCACAGGCACAGACACGCATACACACTCGGCATTGCCCTACACATACACACATGCCAGCACACACACACACACGCACAGAGGGGCAGCAACATTTTTTCTCTTTACACACACATTTCGCATAACTGGCATATTTTTTATGCTTTAGGTGTGTCGCGCCCACATTTTTAAACAATAATTACACAAAAGGCACCTAAATATGCAGCCGCAAGCAAACAGCTGCTATCCGCTGCTTTTTCACTCTTAATAAAACGCCTTTTCTGCCAGCAACTGCCGACGGCTTTTATGCAAAAAAAAATGTAGTACCAGCTCTCCCCCGCACGGAAAGTGAACACATACCCTAACCAACAACGATCGATCGCACGGCGGCAGCGCAGCAGCAGCAACAACAACTCCTGTTGCTGTTTAGCCTTTGCATACGCTTGATTGTTGTAATCTCAGCGAGTTTTCTGATTTTCCGATTGATTTTTTATGCGCGAAAAAGACGACCGTGCGTCGCTTTTGGATTGTTTTAATTTGTTGGGCCGCAGGGAGGATTCTCGAGTTGGCAGCACCACGTCTGTGTTCCATTACTCCAACATTCCGCCACGGGTGCTGCCACCTAGTTGTACAATTTAAGCGCTCACCCCTGCACACTGAAGAGCAGTGCTAAAAACAGCCAATGAAGATTCAAATATTTGAAATTGCTCAAGCGATTAAAAACTAAATTGCTGGCAGGTAATTATAGACTTGTTGATTTAAATTGTACTTATTTTTACTAAATAGCTTTAAAGTAATTAATATTACATATAAGCTTTTGATAGTAAAATATATATATTTATAGAGAGATATATGGAGCTGATATTACATTATATGAAACTTGTCTTAGGACTCGTTCTTGTGGAGAAATTCTCTTTTGAAGATCAATCTTTATTGCCGTCAAGGAAGTACTCTCGGGTGTGGTTATAAAAACCTTAAGAGCAGAGTACAAAAGGGTTTTAACATTACTAGTTTGAGAAGCAGTCCCAAATACTACATTATGTAGATTAAAACAAAATAGCTTTCATTCGTTACAAAAATAATGTATTATAGTCGCTTATAATTGTGCTTAAGTATATGCAGAGCTAGAAAACTTCCTACCCAATTAAAATTTAACGATAAAATAAAATTTATAATTTACATTTTATGTTGTGTTTTCAAACTGCTTTCTTTCACAAACTGTATAAATGAATTGTGGCTTAAAACATGTTTCACTCTATTTGTTTATTATGGATTGGCTTAAGTTTCTGTTCAACATTTATTGGAAATATCTTCATGTACTATCTTGAAAGCGAAAAAACATGTCGGAATTATAAAAAAATTTCGGGAATTATCAATTGGCCTAGTATTCAATATTATTTACATACACTTAGTACGATAAATTCAAGTGTACGTCAAGTATGATATTCTACATTGTTTTTTTGATATGGGGTCTTGCTGATATATAGAATAAGAAAACAGTCATTTAAACATAAATTGCAGAGAAGATACAGAGACGATACTACTTGTATTTGAAACATTTTAACGCACACTACTCGAGCCGTACCGTATTTCTCGCTCAAATTGCTCCGCTTTAAGAGTTCCATCAATGCTCTGGAAATCTTTATTGAACACACTATAGGCACTAATCTCGTTGGGCTTTTTCGGTCCGGTGCGAGTGTTGAAATAAATCATAAAGAGCGCAGAAAACATTAAGAATACTATGCCAAATTTAAGTTCAATGGCAATAATATAAACTGTGACCCAAAAACAAAAATAAACCGTCCAGAGCGTATATTTTAAACACTTTCCATCCCTCCACGTCTCCTTAGGTGGGTCCAACGTGTGTCCAACGCTATCTTCGATGAAATCGTCTTCTGAGAGGCTTGTGGATGGTGATTTGTCGGCTTCCTGCACACGAAAATACTTATAATATAGTCTTTCACTGTGATAAATAAAAGTGCAACTAAAACTAATAATACTGTGCCACTTTTAAAATAAGAAATTACTTAAAAACTTGGTTTCCCAAAACGTCGAGTCTTTGATGCATAGAATCGACTAATTTTTGGGTTGTTTCAGATGAGATCTTTGTGGGTTTTTCAGTTAATTTTGATTGGAAATTATTTTATTCCAGCTTGATCCACTGCTTCTCAATCACAATCAAGTGTGTTGGCTATGCGGGTGATTTTAATTCCGAATCAGCCAACTTTTTACAATAATAACGAAAATTTATCCTTACTATTCAGAACACAAAATTGTCAGCTCCAAATGTGCAGAACTGTTTTGCTAAGACTTGCCTGCTTCACGAACAGGTAAAAAGCCTTTTATCAGTAAGAAGAACCAACCAAGCCAACTAAGTCAATAAACTCGTTTTTACTGTCCTTGTAGAGCTCTACAAATGAGTCAAGTAAAAAAGCATATAATAGCTTCAGAAGTACGTTATAATTGTAATGAAACATTTTGCACGGCAGTATAAAGCCTGTATCAGAAATAAACCTCTCCCTCCCACACACCCAACAAAATTATCACGTATCTACTAAAAATTGGCCACTATTTTGTATACCAGGTAATAAAATGTTTCAAGCTAGAAACCGTATGGCATGCTCCTTTGCAATAATTCAATAAAAGGTACTTAAATATCAGTTAACAAAACCAGAAATTTAACATACATTCATATGTATGTATGTACATATGTTTATACTTCCCGGGGAACATACACACCTTTGTTATCTCAACGACTTCCATTTGTCGTTCAGCTTTGCCAAATGGCCAAGGAAATCGAATTTTGCTTTTAAATTTATCAACCACCTCCTTTCTTCTTTTCCGCAGGCGATATTTATGAAGTTGTTCTTGAAAGTCGTCCATAAATTCGCTAAAAATCGTAAACACGGCCAGCTGATGCTGATCTTTTACAGCACTGGACACGTATCACAACGCTAGTGGGACCATCAATAACATTTCGCAATTATACTGCTAAACGTAACCAAAATACTACTAGAAAAATACCGCACGCTTGGATTGGACGATTATGCTTGTCAGCTGGGCACACTACACTTTTCTTGCGGTTCACAGCAATAAATGGCATTTAGCTCACAAAATATTGTAGTATCGGCTTTTAACAAGAATAAACAATTAGCTTAGCGTAATTGTGTTGCCATTATAGCCAGAAACGGTTGCAGCAAACAAACACAATGGGGTAAGTGAGGGTGTTGAAACGCTTTTGAATTCAAAACGTTGCAATTGACGTGAAAAATCGACGCGCTGCTGCTGTTGTTGTTGGCTGCTAAGCGGGCGGCGTTGGAGGCTTTATGTAGTAGTATATATGCATGTGTGTACGAACATTGCGTGTGTGTGTGTGCGTTTCTATGAAGGTGTGCGGTTGTGCAGGAAGGCAGGCAGGCAAATACCGCCCGTCAATAATTGTGCGCGTGTGTGGGTGTACGGCGTATGCGTGTGTGTGTGTTGAGTGTAAACTTGAAGCAAAATCAAAACGAGGCAACAAAACGCTTAAGCACATAATGCAATTTAGTTTCAAAGGCATTGACAACGCGCTGACGGCGCCAGGAAGTGACGCCAGCTAGCCCCAGCAACCCACAGCCACCCCCTTTAATTTCCCCCTTTTAAAGACAACCGACCGACTAACCGACTAGTCAGGCAGGCAGTCAGCAACCGCATTCATCATTGATTGTGCAGCGCAGCGTGCTCGCCTTCAACAACAGCAACAACAACAATGACAATGACATGGTAAAAAGATAGGCGCTAATATAAATTAAATATTAAGAGAAGTGTGTGTGTGTGATGGCTTAAATGGAATTTTTAATTATCATATACGTGTATTCCCAAATCTCTTTACAACCGCAGCGAACAACCAATTTTCACTTGCCAGGCGCACGTCTTCCATATTGACCCGAAGACGAAACGTACTTGGATTACGGCTAGCATGAAGGCGGTTAATGTTAGCTTCTTTTTTGACTCGTCGCGAAACTTGTATCGCATCATCAGCGTGGAGGGTACCAAGGCGGTCATTAATTCCACAATAACGCCCAACATGACGTTCACACAGACATCACAAAAGTTTGGCCAATGGAGCGATGTGCGCGCCAACACGGTTTATGGGCTCGGCTTTGCATCCGAGGCCGAATTGACAAAGGTGCGTATTTAGAGATATTATATCTCCACAGACTATTATTGTTATGCATTGCAGTTTGTGGAGAAATTCCAAGAGGTGAAGGAGGCGACTAAGAATGCCATGAAGTCGGCGAACGGCTCCAATGCTGTTACGCCCACAACCTCGGCAAATACGTCGCCCATATCGGGGCGTGCTGTTGGTGCCATGCAAAACGATAATACCGCCATAGATCCACATACCGTAGAACCGCCGAATCTAAGCAATACAAATACACAGAACGCGAATCCGGACAGTCCATCGCACAAGCTATTGAGCACAAGTGATGCCAAACCGGATATAACTTCGGCCACCCCCTCGCCACAGCCATCGGTGGGTGCGGGCACAGGCGGGGGTGGCGGCGGCGTTACCATTTCATCGGGTGGCAGCATTGTGGGCATGCACACTGGACCGGGAGCGGGCGCAACTGCTGAGCAGCAACTGAAATACGAAAACGAACGTCTGAAAATGGCCCTCGCGCAAAGGTGAGTAAGAAACAAAAGCCATCTAGAAGGTTAGTAAACCTCCCACCTACAATGCACACTTTTGCAGCTGCGCCAACGCCAAGAAATGGGAAATCGAACTGGCCACATTGAAGAACAACAATATACGTTTGACAAGCGCTCTGCAGGTGCGTCCATAGCTTTAAGCAGAAAACAACAAGCGAATTGTGCTAAGTGTTCTAACAGTGTAGTGTATTTGTGTTCCAAAAAGATCGATTTGTTGTTTGAAATTGCATAAGAATTATCAATTAAGAAGTGCTACGAAACTGGTAAGGAAATATATTTATGTAGAGGCACTCGAAGCGAAATCGGAACACAAACGTAATCATTGGATTTAGCTAAACATACTCGGAATTGATGAATCAATATTATAAAAGGTTATTCTGGTTTTTAATTTTTATCAAATTTGTCGACATCGATGCTTGAGTCAATTTAACAAATTTGATTTCGTCTTGCGATGTGCGTGGGAGAGTTTCTTTTTACAATGATAACGACAAATCGATTTTAAAACGGGAACAGGCCTCTGTGTTTTTTCTAAACTGATAGACTTATTTTTTCCAACTTGAATTGGGACCGAAACAGTCTATGTATTTAGCGGAGCAGGATTGGTGGGAGGATAATAATACGCGACAAAGTTTTGTGGATGAATGAAAAACGTCGATAGCTCGACTGCTTTATTTATATATAAATTCTTATCCTAGTTCTTATGCTATCGCCTACATACTATCATCGATTCCTTATCTTCTACCATGTGTGCGTACTTTATCAGGTAGCTCATGTTAGCCAGCCGCAGCATGCTCATCCAGCGCGGTGGCGAGCCTGAGCTAATGATTTGTGTACTTACACATCCTTATCTATTAAGCTGGCGCCTGCCAGCTACGAAAATGTTGGTGTTATGTTCGGCATCTAAGGCCGAACTCATTATTATCTGTATAAGAGAGCATGTCTGTTTATCGAGGTTTTATCTATAACAATATGATAATGTACCATTCGTGGTCTAGACAGAGCAAATCTAGCTTATCAATTAATTTACATTTACTTAGGATCTCGCTAGAATTGAACAGTCTAGTTTTATTATAGTAGTAATAATACATTATATTTCAATTCCAATTGAAATTTCTATGCATGACGTGCAAAGTTAACGAGTTTTCCAAGAAAATTAAAGCAAATGAAAACTAATAATGCTCAAGAAACACATATAGAGATAAAATATCGTATGCGTTGATTGTTTTTTTCTTTCTTTAACATATCGAGCACTAACCGAAAAAAAACCGTAATTCATGTAGTATTTTTGCTTCTTCACTTAATTCTTCTTCTTAATTTATTTAGCTATAGGAGAGAACCCTAGAGCTAGAGGTAGTTAATAATTGGTAATATTTTATTCCAAAACAAATTATTTAATGGGTTGGTAACCAAGTACTTTTATTTTGGATGAGGCTTAGCTTATATATACGAACTGTGTTAGGGTATTGCTGATTTTAAGGCGACGGCTCGGATGGTTATCGATCGTAATCGTAAGTAATTGGGTAATTTAGTCAAATAGTCTTTGAGAAACTTACTCCAAATCGAAACAGGTTCTATGAAATACTCATTTATTTATTAGAATTGAAAAAATGATTCATGAATAAATGATTAGATTAGCTTATATAGGGCATATTGTTTGATATTTTTTCAGTTCATTCAACATATTTTATGAATTGATTCCCTCTTAGTCAAGAGTAGACTAAAGGTCCCCTTCCTTTGAGCACAAGATTACTTAATTTAGAAACCTTTCCTTGTTTCAAACATTCTGTTTTTGCACTTTGCAGGAGTCCACAGCCAATGTGGATGAGTGGAAGCGCCAACTACACACCTACAAGGAGGAGAATATACGACTCAAACGCGAAATGGAATTGTTGCGAGTAGGCGCGGGTAGTGGCGCCGGTGCTGCTGGCGGCTCCTCGTCGGAGGATGAGCTGCGTCGCGAACTGGCCGCCATGAAGGCGCGCACGGAGTCGTTGCAGGCGGAACTGATGCAGCAGGAGGTCGAGCTTAAAATGGCAAACATCAATTTGCGCGAGAAGTGCAATGATCAGACTGTAATTGTACAAATTAATTTAGACATATGTCGAAATCGAATTTACAGCTTATTTTTCTATCCACCAGCTGGCCAAGCTTAGCGAGCTGAATGTGCTGTTTGCCAAGCAGCTTTCGGAGCTGTGTGCTGTGCAAAAGGACATGGAAAATGTTATACATCCTGCTAAGTGCACTTGAGACGCAGAGTTGGGTTTACATAGAAAGGTTGGCTCGAGAGTCTAAGCAACTTATTTTGAAATGCACAACTTAAGATTCAACTTTGCTCGCCAGGTTTCAGCGCAGGAACAAACTACAGCAAATACTACAACGACTTCATCGACAACAACTACAACTAGCAAACGTTATTTAAGCAATTTTCTGACGGCGGGCGCTGTTACCCCCCAGCCGGGCGGCGGCAGCGGCGAGGCCGAAAGCACGCTCTCCAATGTCACTTCCATACACACCCAACTTCAGTCGTCGCTGTACGAGAGCCAGAACACGGCACAGCTTAAGGCGCTGGACAAGCACTCGGCTCTGCTGCAGGAACTGCATCAGCGACAGGCGGCACCCAGACGCAGTTCTCTGACCGAAGCTGCTGCGGCGGCGGCTGGCACATCGACGGGCGGTGCTAAAACCGCCACAATACTCGTATCCAAATCAAAAACTAAAACTGGGCTGCCCCTTCTGCTGAAGAACTCCATAAATAATTAGTAGACGCATTGCGCATTGCAGAGAACTTTTGTAATCTTTGTATTGGTAGTTTGTAAACAATTCACTTTCAATTGTCACAGTCACAAGTCCCCGACGCGCCTACGACCCTAGTCTTATATGAATGTATGTATGTATGTAATTTCTCGACTCGAAACGCCCAGTATTTTTTCCCAAATTGTATGCGTGTCCCCATGTTGTCACATCACTCTTCTCGTAGACCTAAGACAAAATTCACGATTCAATTCGATTCGATTATCATGTGCATTTTTTGTTAAGTGCAATATATTTAATAATTAACTAACCATTGATATACATATGCATATTATTATAACGAAATCGTGTGCTTTTTATTTACTCTTACTTTTTTGTAACTGTTAATTAATTTTTAATGAGAGCTTGACAATGAATACTCACATTCTTTCCGCCAAAAGCACTTAAGAACTTATTACTTCCATCGATTTTGAACGAACAAATTGCAATGCAATGATATTTTGTAAATGTGCTCGAAAACTTTACGTATTTGAAAACCAAAATTGTATTCTACGTTTAAGAAAATTTTAAATTTCATTTTATTTAATGTCTATTTATTTATCATATACCCTTATTTGATATTGAAATAATATTAAGCATATACATACTTTAACTAACGACGACGAACATACTAAAACATAAAAACACACATTTAAAACGAATTAATTTTATAAATACATAGCGAAAAGGAAAAGAGAATACAAAAATTACCAGATATGATATAATTAGCAAAGTAAAATACAAAATAACAACAAACGAACAAAAGCAACAAAAACAACAAGTCAAGCAAAAACTAGTTTAATATATTGAAAATAATATACATATATACTCGTATATATATGTCTGTATGTATCTAACGGAACCACAAATCTTGAGAGAAGCCATCTAATAATAATATTAAAAAAACAAGAATAGAAGACACAACACACCCCACACGCGAAATATTTTCACCCAGCAATAAATAAGATTTAAAGGTAACGAATAAAATTTATGAAATGGGAAACGTTTACGGTTATATTCAAGCCATATTGTTATGCATTTGTGCATAAATAAATAATACAGTTAATAAAACAAATGTTGAACATACAAAGCTAGCAATTAATAATGAAATCGCGGAAGAAATATATAAGTACATAAATATATGAAATAAATAAATTCAATACGACGAACAAGAAAATGAAGAGTACATGTTGTTTTATTTGCTATTATAGTTGTAAGAAAAGACTTAAACTCATTGGGTTTACAAACAAGGTGCATTTATCAAAATTCTAGCATTGACACCACTTCCGAAGTTGCACAATTATTAATTATAAATGTTTTTCACTTTGAAAGGATACATGTTCTAAATAAGTCGAATTTGTCCATTCAATTTGTAATTTTTGAGCACTTACACTTAGTTTTCTGGAAACATTAAGTTCTCTATGGGCAACGATTGTTCTCAAAACATCTACAATATTATTTTTAAAGTAGAATCTCCTAAGTGCCATATGTGTTCCTATCTATCTATCTATCTATCCTTTAGTTTAAATTCGCATAAATAATTCAACAAAATATGCAAAATTATTGAATAAATATAACTAGATATGCAAAGCAATTGCAACTCCATATGTAATACAATCACCCTATCTAGGTAATTATAGTTTAATTCTACAACTCCAAGAATTGTTTTTACAATTCGATTTCTATATATGGAAGTTACAGTAATACTATCATTTAAAGTTCAACACATATTTTTTCGAATTTCCCAATAATGATAAAACTTTAATGTCACTTATATGAAGAGAAACTAGAATTTGAAAGATACTTCTCTATAAAATTTGCGTGCCAATTATTTGCCTATCTGCTCATAGATTTAGATATGAAAATTACTTTTCTATCTGATCAGTAAACTATGGCTAGTAGTAAGCCTATTAATAAGTCCCATTATTAAAAGAGATTGATAGTTTTAAATTTTCATATCGGCAGCTCAAGCTAACTTTTGTAGTCTTCATAGATTTCAGTGAATACGAAATTTTGCGAATATATTTGTTAGATAAATAATTTACAATTTCATTCAGATAAATTATATATTTTTTGTTTCAAATGGAAACGGCAGCTTGGTTAAACAAATAACGATCTATACAGCTCCGCTTTGGAATCCTCCGTCCAATCGCTAGCCTCATTAGGCGCCATAAAGTTGACAAGCTTGTTATGCACCACATAGCTGAGGAAACATGGCACATTATTATTTATATTAGAAAAACAATTTTAGTTGTAAGACTAACCGCAATTTACGGCCCTTGCTGGCCCGCGTGTCGACCTTTTTCTTCATTTTCTGTCGCAGCTTCTGTAACTCGACAAACTGTTTGGTTAGATCGCTCATGTTGGCGGATGTGCTGGCCTTGTATTCGATAAGTTCGCGCAGCTGCTGGTGATAGAAGTCGCTGTCGTCGTAAATGTGGGGCTGACGTTGTGGAGCAGCACTCTCTGCCGCCGTTTGGTCCTGATTGCTCTTCAGTATCTGTGACTTTTCAATGAGCACCTCCCGGTTTCCCAGGGCGTTATCGATTTTCTTGATAATGTCATAGTCCTCCTGCACTGATTTGCGTTTGGTACCAGCACCCGGGGTCAGCAGCTTTGTGCGATCGTCCCACTTGAGCAGCACCTCGTTGCGATAGACACGCATCTCTTGGAAATTGTTTTGGAGGATGCCAGCAAAGCGTTTGCAGGGCGACTCATCGTCTCGCTCTGGTGGTGGCTGCTTGCGCTTCACAGATCGTCGCAGTTCGCTGAATTGTTGCGCCAACGTGTGTTGCAATAGGAGCAGCTGCTGAAGCAGCTTGTTGGAGCGCTCCTGTGCCTCTTGGAGCACAGTCTGTAGTCCCTCGTTGTCAGCGCCCAGCTTTGGCAGCGTCTGGGGCGGGGGCAGTTGATTAGCTTTGCTCGTCACTTTCTGTGTGTTCATGCGCAGCTCGAGCAGACGCTCCCAAATGCGCAACTGATTCTGTACGCAGAGTCCCTTTTGGATCTCGGCTTGTTGGTTCGTTTTGGACATGAGGTTCTCAGTGCTGATAGCGTTGGTGTCATCATCGTTCTCAGAGACAGCGGATTCGCTAGCATCGTCCTCCCCCTCTTCTTCATCCTCAGATGAATCGTCTTCTTCGCCCTCAGCACTGCCTTCCTCATCATCATCGTCGTCATCTTTATCTTCATCCAGGTCCATGTCATCGCTTTCGCTTTGCTCTGCCTTTGTTCCCTGTTTTGATTTTAACTTTCTGTTGAATGCCGCCAAGGCCGTGCTCTCCTCCTCATCGCTATCACTCTCCTCAATTCCCAACTCCTCATCTTCCTGGCTGTCTTCATCTTCGTCCTCATCCGCCTCCTCGTCCTCCTCTAACTCAAATTCCTTTCGACTGGCTATTTTGCCTTTGTAGCGTGCACTCTGCTCCGACAACAGCTTGACATTTCGCTTTCGAAAGTCTGTGCTACGTGCATCTGGCAAATCGTATTCGTCTGGCTCGAAATCTACAACTTTTGCTGCAGTTTCTAAATCTGCATCGGAATTGTCGTCGCTTTCACTGTCATTCGGATGCGCCAACAGTTTGCTGACCTTCTCAGCTACGGTTTGTGGCTGTTTCTTCGTTTTACGCAACATTTTCGAGGGACTTCATTTATCTTTAATCGTTATTTATTAAAAACAACATATGGAACAGCCGTAACACGTGAAAGCGGCGTAGAGATGAGCTAACTGGATGCACCTGTTACTTTGTCACAGCGATGGCATCGGCTACCGAAGTGAAAAAAGTAACAGCACGACACTGCTGTGTTCAATAGCTAATTGCTTTAAAACTTAATTACATTTTAAATGAATCTTGCAGTAATATACAATAGTTTTTAAATTAACAGAGTTGCTGCTTAAATTAAATAAATAATATAGTCACTGTGCACTTTTATCGGCATATCGATAAATTGAAGACATCGATATTCTCCGTTGCCCAGTGTAAAGCAATAAAGCGGCATTTCTTTTGAATTCAAACCACGTACCTAATTACGAATATGTCCAAGACGTGTTGAAGCTAATTAATATCCAATTAATTTTGTGCGTAGTAGAAAATATAACTCAAAATTTTATCAAACGATCTTTTATTTTCAGTTGAGTAAAGCACTGCAGCTGATATTGTTGTTTATAAAATATAAATAAATAATTATATAATAATGAATAGTAAGTGATTGTGTGATAATAAATGAAATAGTTTCTTTCCTCTTTTAATTCTTGAAAATGACAAAAAAGTTGTTGGTGAGCTTGTTTTTCAAAGTATAATTCTTCCTTGTTACATATTCTGATTTTCTTTTAATTAAGAATAATTGTTCTAAGCAATACTAATGCTATTAAATGATTTACGACATTTTAGGCTTTCCTCTATGAACACCTATCAATATTATAACGAGAAAAGCGCTAAGAAACATTTTCGTTTAACATTTAGTTATATTGTTCCTCTATGTGTATTTTTTGTATTCATTTTTAATCACTTTTTTTGCTATAATATATGATTATAGAAATTGATCTTTACAGGCTAATAAAACATTCAATGGAAATTTCATAATCTAAAATATTTTGATATTACCAGACTAGAGAATGTTACCAATAAAGTGATTGTAAAAGAAAACAACAATTTTGTTTAGCTATGCAAGCTTTATAGATGGATGGTTAGGTAGCGAAAATTCGCTCCTGCACTAGACCTGAAGAGGACACATGTCATGCCATTTAATTTTCTTATGTTTATTGCGAGGTATTTCATGAAGATCACCCAGGAACCCGAATCTGCTAAGTCCTGGACAGTAGAAACATTGCTGTATGCTTTTTTCTTATTACCATTATGTTTGTTACAACCATTTAATTTTCAACTTTTAATTCCCAAACACGTGAATAATACACCGTTGATATTTCGAATTTCCGTCTGATCCCCAAACAGGGTAGGTTCTCAAAGCTGTTTTTTTTTTTGAAACGAAAACATTTAATGTTAACTTTAGACTTGTTTAAAAAAATGATAAAGAAAATTTAGAAGCTTTTTTCTCGTGGTATTTATTATAATTTTTACAAATTATAATTCACTTCATTTAAATATGAAGAAACTGAAACAGAATTCGGAAAATACACATAATGAACTATTTAAATATGTATCTAAATAATCCTGATCACTTACATTTATTTAGTTGGCACAGCGTTATACAGAAACCGAAATGTTACAGTGCCTTGAAATATACTCAATTATGGAAAGCCTCTGCATATCATCTCCTATAAAGTAGTATACACGTCTTGTCTTTAAAAAATGCAAAAAGTTGGAACATCCGTGTTCTACTCAAAATTTGTTGAGCAGTATCTTTTTATAAAATATGTATTTATGTATTACATAAATATTTGAAATGCGTATTCACAAAAATATGAAATAAAAATATATTTAGATTATTATTTATTATAAATAACCTGTATATTTTATTAAATTACCAAAAAATTAAACTTTAATATATTAATTTTGAATACAGTTGATATTTCTTAAATTATGGTGCATTAATTTCCATAATATTTCGAATAACTTTATAAAATATTCGAAAACCCCAATAACATTTACCAAAACTAAATTTAGAGAATACTCAACTGATGAAACTAAAGGGTTCAAGTACGGCATTTGATTTGTATTCAAAAGTATTGAACATAAGGTAGATTATGCTCGAAAGAGGAAAAGGCTATAAACTTTAGTAGGTAAAATTCCATCAATACTTTTATTTAACATAGTTTTTTATCAATAATGAAATAAAGTGTTACTTTTTTAAAACATTGTTTTTAGCTATTAATGTGCGCTTTAAAGAGCGTCAAAATTATAAATGCAATATAATCAATACAAGATAAAAATGAGCAGTTTTTCTTGAAAAACTAAATATAACGTGAGTTTTTATATCCTGTACGCCCAGGATAATAGGGTATACTAGTTATTATATTTACAAAGCTAGGAATACTTTATGCACGTATGTACTTTTTTTAAATTTATATATAATTTATTAAACTAGTATTCTGCTACCAATATGGCAGCTTAAGCTTGTTCGAAATTATTGCTGCATACTTTTAGGCAGTGTTTGTATTTTCAAAAATTGGCATTTTAATTTTTATATTTTATTTTATATCGTATATTTATCATTCTTTTGTTATATTTATTAGTGTTCGTATGCACATGAGTGTGTGCGTGTGCGTGTTTGTTTTTTCCCACCTTTTAGCAGACAATGTCATGCTCGTTGAGTATCAGCTTGCACGTTCATTAAAATCGAACAAAATGCCGCCCCTATCAGCGCACAGGTGCATCTTGATAACGGACTCGCACACGCACACATGCACGGTTGGGAGACATTCATATGCACACACACACACACACACACACACGCAAACATATTCATAGCATACAAAAGAGCGCGCACAATACATAAATGTAAACAAGTCATGAACTTGAAATCGAAATCCAAATCCTTTTGTTCAGGATATAACGCGCCATTTTGTGCTCGTTAAAATATAATGAATTGTCTGCAAATTGTGACTTGCGAACCGCAACCGCCCCCACACACACACAAAGTCAATCCAGCATTTTGTCAACCTTGAAAAGCTGGTGGCGCCAGAGGCCGCACACGCAAACGGTCAGTCGAACGGGCAGCAACCGTTGCCGGAAGCCGCACTAAAGTATAAAAAGGATAAACTGCGCATTAGGCGCAACGAAAAGCCACACATAGTACAAGTACATAAATTTGAATAAAATCAAAAAAAGGCGGCAGAAGCTGCTGTGCCGACTGCTGTCAAAACGTGCCCCGTGCCGCCCATCAGACGATAGATAACGAAAATTTTTCATTTTTTTGTTTGTTTATTTTCGTCTGTTATTTCTTCACTTTGTGAGTGTGTGTGTGTGCTTGTGTTTTTTTCTATTTTGTGTGAGACACGCTCTTGTCGTACGAAATAATTTCACTACGCCGACGCTGCTGAGCTGCTGATAACGGTAAAAGATTCGGGCTATGCAGGAGTCAGACATAGACAGCCGACAGCCGACTGACGCTGAACTTTGAGTTCCACATACACACGCACACATACTCGCACATATGTTTTACAAGTATATACAGTGACACACACACGCTTTGAAAGCATGTGAAGAAAATGAGTATGCGGGCGTACGGGAATAGCTTTTTGGGGCTCAATTGAACGCCCAACCGTCAGCCGACATCCAATCAATCAGTCAGTCGGTCAGCCAGTCAGTTAGTTAGTTAGTTAGTTAGTGTTGTAAGCGAGCGTGATTTGTTATCAGAGAGGGCTTCTTCTAACTATAAAGTCAGCGATGCTGCGCTGCGTCGCATTTTTAAAAAGATTATCAGTTGTTGCCGAGATCTCGATTTCACGGCAGCATCTGAAACAGAAACAGAATCAGAATCAACGACCATACTAGCAGCGCGCCACCTCGTACTGCGGGCGGGATAGGCGGTCAGTCAGTCAGTTCCTGTACGCAGCACGCGCACATAGCACGTAACGGTAAATTGAAAGAACAACGTTCCGTCGTGCTTGACTCGATTGTTTGTTGATAATATAATAATATGTATGTGGTGTGTGGGTGGATTCGCTGCCAGTGTTGTAAAGTGAACGCGTTGAAGTTGTGCTCAGCCGAAAAAGTGTGTGTAAATGCTTGAATTATACAAATATTTGCAATCAAATAAACAGCCATAGAAGGCACGTGCGTGTGTATTTAGAAAATATAAACAACGACAAAAAACGCACACAAATCGAACATTTTGTTGGCGAATGAAAAACCTATGAAAGCAGCTAAAAAATCGTAATCACCAGACCACGATTTTAAAGCTGCGCAAAGATGTAGGAAAATAATAAATACATATACATACATGCATATATGAGTAAAACAAAAAACACAACTACTTTTGAAAAATTAACACCATTATGCAACTATGTATATAGTTGCAACTTTTAACTTGGCATCACAAAATAGTGAACTTCCTGCAACAATTCAAAAATTGAGAGAGTTATTGAAACACGTCGAGAACATGCCAGATATTTATGTGTTCGCTGATAAGATTAAGATTATGAGTATAAAGCTGAGATCATTCGCTTATTCAAGTCTTATACTCGAATTTTTATATATGTACATATATATGTACATGTATACCTACTAAAGGAATCTGTTGTTGTAAGCAAAAATACTTATAAAGATTGAGGGCGGTAGGCATCGAAATATAAAACACACACTCACACCTTTTCTATAATAATACAAATTTATAAGTTGCCTGTACGTATAAAGTGATAATTCTATTCTATTTCGGGAGCATTTGAATAGATTATGGAAGTTATAAGATTTATTTTTATGCAAGCTAGTTTATTTCTGTGAAATTTTAATTAATAATATACGTACTAGTAAATATGTGGCACCCCCCCACTTTTCTAATATCAAGCCATGTGTGTGGCATGCAGTTAAGCCATGTTCAGACCGACTCTATGTCTAGCGTCTATCAAAAACATGGCATGCTCGCCGGGAAGTGGCATATGTACTCTATAACTTGCAATACACATTTTTAGTTCTGGGGTAACTTTATGGATTTTTAATTATTATTCATCGCTGTTTATTACAAAACAAAGCCGAGACAACCGCCTCCCAGGTTCGATAAATCTCTGCAAAATGGCATTGACACTTTCTAATTGTCAGAATGCCATTTGTGAGACATATTATTATTATTATCATTAGGTAGAATTAAATGCTGTATTAAGTTTAGCCAGGTGTTGAGCCCAACGTTTTGATTTTATATCAAACATATATATGATGTAACACTATTTTTCAGAAAAGACAGATTTCAATATCTGACAAATTAGTTTTCTTGAGATTGGTATCTTGAAGCAAAGCTGTCGCACACATAGTAACACTGTGTTTGTGCTTGCGTTACAAAACTGACTATATGAATATTAAATTTTAATACACTGAACACCTCGTTCACCGCAATAAATAATATTTAAAAAAAATCGTTTTACTTTAACTTACTTTTGTCTCGTTTAACACAATTTCGCTTAAAGGTCTGCTAGGATCCTCAACCCCCCTTTTAAGCGAGCGCTAGCTGTACTATTAATCATCTAAAAAACCAAATAATTGGTTGTGCGAGTGGTGTGTTCTTGCTTTGTTCCGCAAAACTTGACTGATAAGCAACAAGTTGCTCAGTATTAGGAATTCGAAGGATATCATTAAGTCAAAAAAAAAAAACAAAAAAAATTGAAACATGATGTTTGCAATATGACTCTGAAACCAAGCTTCAAATTGCCTACCAGGTGAGGCAAAAAAGTCAATTGGAGAAGTAAAAAATAAAAACAATGTTGATTTGTTTTTACGATTTGAGAGGATTTATTCTTCGGAATTCATTCCACCTGTCCAAACGGTTACTTCTGTATTTATGATCGCTTTTTGAAGCGGTCGCTTGATATTATTTGGCCCGAATATAATCGATCAACAAATTTGCGACAAGTTTTTTCATATTCGACTAATTCTAAAGGAGATGCCGGACGTTCGTATTGAGATTAAGTTCTGCTTAAGTCCTGTTTGCGTTGAGATGTACTTTGTATTAAACGCATTAAACTATTTAACGTTTTAATTTGCGAGATTTTGTGGGTTTTATATTAAGAAATGAGGGATTCATCCATACTACATATCTGGTTTATTTTGTATTTATTAATGTCATTTTTATATTTTGACTCAACTCTTCAAATCGCTTTTTATCGTAGCTAAGATGAACATTTGTAAATTTGAACAAATAGTCCGCAGTTTTTATGCCATTTTTTCTTCACTTTATTTAGACCCAGTGAAATTTTGGCCAACGTTTCTATTGTTTGTATAAAATGCAATATTTATTTTTCTTTTTTGTCTGCGAAAAAAAGAACAGCACCGAGTTCAAAGGGCAACAAACGTCAAATAATTAAAACAAAACACAAATTAAATAGCTCGATTCCAAGGACTCATATGGGCAGAGGGAGTGTTTAAAGCAAATATTGTTGTTGTGTTTACTTTTTGTGTGTGTGGCTGGCTGCCAAGCACTGCGCGTGTGTTAAGTAATGGTGAGTGGAGGGTGAGAGGAGGGGAGGGGAGGGGAGGGGAGGGGAGGGGCGGGGAGTGGGTTATAGGTGTAGATAGTTGTGGCACTGTGCGAGTAATTGAGTGGGTTTGTGAGCATCGAGCGCAATTGATTAGCAGATTAGGAGACGACGCAGCAACATAAGTGGAATTTTTGTTATCGCCTGGAATATATTTCAGTAATTAGTTCAAGGTCAAAGCCCTATACGAAATGCAGTAAAAACACACACACACGCACACACGCATATACATTTTGAAATCAAAACAAATATTAAAAATGTTCTTGAACTTATCACAAAGACAACGACAGCAGCAGCAGAAAAACAAGACCCCAACAGCAAGGGCAACAACAACAACAACTTGCAACACACCCCCCAAGTATAATTAATTGAATTTAATTGAGTCGAGTCGAATCGAATCGAGTAATAGAAATGTTTAGCTCAGCCCAGAAGCAAAGAAATAACAACATTTGTGCATTTGTCGTGTTCTCTCAGTGGCTGCAGTAAATAAAATACATAACTAGTTGTTGTATAAACAAATAGTTCGGCAATATAAATAAATGTCATGCAAGTGCAAAACAGTTGGGTGAAATAATCGCTTCGCATCTAGTGTAATGAGAATCCGAAAACGAATCCATATCAGACAACTAACTTTCCTGCTCTACATTATAACAAATCCGCGTCATCAATATATATAATATAGTATAAATATATGTATATAAACACGTTTTGGCGGCTTTTCAGTTTATTTGCGTTGTTCTTTATTTACGTTAAATGTGCATAGTTTTATATTTTCAATAAATATTTATCAATGGCAGTCAAAGCATTGGCCGAAAGTATAAATTCTTTCACTGACCCCACGCAAGCCGTTACGCCTTCGGCTTTCAAAACTTCCAAATGCTACACTTCCGCCCAATAGAATAGAGACAAATAGTGACTAAATAATTATTCAACGTAGTAAATCGCGTAAAGCGTACAGTATCGCTCTGAAAAGACAACTAAAGGCAGCAGCCCTACTTTTAATAAAATTTCTGAAAATTAAATAAATATTTCTAAAAATCAGCTATATTTTCTATAAAATAAAAATGTGATTTTTAAAACTTCAGACAGTTGTCTGAGAATTAAAAACTTTTATAGGATCCATTTTTTGGCTTTTGTTGATTTCATTTTTTTCCGCATTCATTTTTATGCGCAGTATTATTAATATATATAATAATATTTTTCAAATATACGTATATATAACAATCATGATTCTTTATACTATATCTATCTGTTTGGTTATATATAAGTATTATTTATATACATGCGTGTGTCGGAAATTAAAAACAAATATACTCTGGATTATCAGGTGCCAGAGCAGTCCAGTAATAGTGTCAGTCAGTACTGTTACGAGGATTTCACAGGTTTCCCTCCCCTTCCCCTGTTGCACACAGTTATATAGTAACGTTATAGTGGTTTGGATAAATCTCAATTGTAATATTGTTTCAAATCTCGTACAATAACAAACAATTATATACAATTATAATTGTTTTAATTTGCTTAATTCAAGCCCTAATCGATACCTTAACCCGGAAAAAGTAATAGCAAAATGATTTTCATTATTATATATTGCTAGCTTAAAGGTTAAACTACTAAGGTAACATGGGTGTTTCTAGCCCCCAGGGGCTACTAGGGAGGTCTTCTTTCTTTTCTTAGGAATTGTAGAATTCATTTTATATTTTATTTAGTCATTTATTTACCACAGCTAAATATAGTATGTAGTAATTGCAAATTAAATGCTAACTAAATATTTAACGGAGAAATAGTAACTCCGAGTAAACCCTTAGTAAACTATAGGAAACTTTAGAATTACATTTAATTAAGAACATATTTGTTAAAGTGTACCTATTAATATAAGACCATGTTTGAAAATATGTGTGTGTGAGTCTTAGAAGAGCTTAAATGGTAAGCTTTATGAGTAAGATTGCTAAATTCTGGGATAAATAAATACAGATAAAAATTACTTTATTATTCTGGGACATTGAAGATATAAAAGGAGTAAGGGATCCATAAAGACTTGTTTTCTGATTGATTTAGGAGTGTAAAATATTTAAGAAGATTTGAGTGCATTGTTTGAGTGCATTGCATTTTAATATGCAGGAGTTTTTCATATTTTTTTAATGGCCCTTTCGTTCAGGCTTGTTGTCAATATCGGCGGTAGATTTATGTATAACCCCTTTTGCTGTATTGTCGTTAGTTGTAGTATGTAGTAGTTAGTATGTACTTATATTTTCTAAAGAAAAACGGCATATTAGGGAGCTGATATTTGAGTTGGTAGATAAATTAAACCAACAAATGGAAAGGAATTAGCAGTAAACAATCTATATACATTTTTAACCAGGGTTATATGTTGACTTTAATGGGCCGATAATAGAGGTTAGCCCTTTAATTAATTATATTGAACACGCGTCTCTTAAGTAAAATATTCACAGCTTTTAGTTTTGTAAAAATTGTTCTATTTCAAACATTTGTTGGGCTGAGAATAAATTCATGATTTTTTATGAGTATGAATGCTTAAAAAAATTAAATGTGGACCATAATGTTCTGCAAAATAATTGCTCAACGATGATTAAAAAGAGCTTCGTTTTGTTTTTGTTTTGTTTTGTCTATGCAAGTCAAAGGAAGGCAGACATGGAAGTAATTGTAAGCCATGTGCGTAGTTTTATATTATATTTGTTTTCACAGTCAATGTATTTGTAACATTCTAACAGTTTTGGAAAGCAAAATAAAACGTGTGAAAAGGAGTTTATAAACAATAAACAAAATAGTATACATTTGTGCTACAAAAAAAAGGGATAAAAAAACCATTCCAATTAGATGACATTCGCAGCCAAAACTGTTCCCAAACCTTTAAAGAGGTCTTTTGAAGTATTCTACGCAGTTAACAGTCAAAAATATGTATAACTGACTGATCCAACATGGTATTTATGTGCATTGTTTTTTTAAAGTGAGAAAGCACTAACCTTCTTTTAAACTAACGGGCATGTTTGTGTGTTTTCCAAAATTTATTCCCCCGCTAAAAGCTGTTTAATTAATTTCTAAAACTTCTTTTACTTAGAGGAGTCTTCCTAACAAGTTTTGTGACTCTAATTTTAATTTTAATTTGAACTTTAACTTTCGAGATAATTACGCTGATACCGAGTTTGGAGTTTCTTTAAGTTTGTCTGTTCAGTTGAAATATTTCATTTGAGTTTAACAAGTTTTTGTAAATTGCAAGTCCAACAACTGAGGATTCAATTATCAGAGTAGAGTCTTCTAACCAAGTTTTTTCACTCTAGCTCTAATATATTTCGAGGTAATGCGGCCTGTAAGACTATTTTGTTTTATTTGTACAATTCATTATTATTAACAAGTTTTTATAATAATGGACCTTGTTTGCGTTTGTCTTTTCCGTTCAAATAATTTATTTAAGTGTAACAAGTTTTTATAATAATGCAGTTTATTTTATTTTGCAATTCCATCACACGTAGATCTTTTTGTCCTTAGTGGACTATTCTAATATATTTGTCGAAATAATGGGGTTCATACAAATAGACTGTCGAACGGTAATAATTTGTTGAAGTTTATTTTATTTTATTTATATTTATTGTCCTGATATTGCACGGACAATTACTCAGTAGAATTAGAAATACTTTATACCAAGTACTGGAAGTCTTCAAATTTTCGAACTGGAAAATTTAAAAACTGTTTAATTTAACAACTAATTTATTCCACAAGACTGTTTGTTCTATTTATGTTTGCTCCGAGCCTCAGCCTCTCCAATAGGAAAGCAAAGTAAATCTAAAACATACTCCAAGCAATAAGCGGATGTTGAACACACACACGATTAAACGCGATTATTTATAGATTGGAATTAACAGGAAAGAGTAGATGTGCATGCAAGGTCTAAATAAAATTGGCTATTCCCCATTTAACAACTAATAAAACTAATAAAATAAGAATCAAAACAAACAAAAGAGAAAAGAATCTATAAGGCATATTTCCGATTCGCATCTGATCGCGGGTGTAAACAAAAAACAAAACAAAACACACGAAAAATAAAACACAACAATAATAATATTATTATTAAACGCGGCAACGAACCCATAGTCCACAGTTTAAATACAAAATGGCACAAGCAGAGGTGAACGAGAACGTTTTGGATCATCGCGTGCTACATGATTGGTCGAATGTGAACGAAACAAATGGTACCATGCATCTATCAAAGGATATGACCTTCAACGACGGCCATCGCTTGTCCATCACAGTGTACAGGTGAGCGGAATCCAAATAAAAAGTAACTCTTCCTACTCCCAGTCATATAACACCCACACAGATACTCTAACCTTAACACTGATAAGCCCTGCATGTGTTTTTTCTAAGCCTTTCAGTGGGTATGTGTAGGTGTATCTGTAGATGTTAAAAATAAGTATAAATCATTCCTTTATTGTCTGTCGCGTATTTAATAATTTTCACTTGGAATTTGAACGCTTTGGTTCAGCGCAGGGTTGAACTTTTCAAAGATTTTTAAAACTGATTAGCTCTGAATAATGTTGTGGTTTGTTGTCAAGCTATTTAATCAAATTCGTATTTAGGTAACCTTCATTAATGATCAATTTGTTAGCACTAGTTTACAAGGCTTAATCGAATTGGACGATCACTAAAAACAAGGACAAATTATTTTTATCCCCACAAATGAACTTTACACAAATGTGAATTTCTTATGGTTTTTTGATTATCAAAACTTTAAACATTATTGACTTATCCGACATTCTTTGGAAAGTATGAGAAATTTATAATTATTTTAAATATTAGATTAGAAGCTCGATTTCAATCAAGCACCACGTTTTTATAATCTATTTCTGGATTAGTCATTGAAGTCATACAATACAACAAAGTGTTTAAATACCTCAATTTCTCAATAGTCTGGTTGTCCCATTGTTCGAAACACTACTATTTTCTACTAAAGAAATAAACCAAACTTAATAAAGAACATAAGAAAGAATATGACAAGAATACAATTTAAAGATAACCTATAAGATCCGTTGTATTTAAAGATAGTTTTTGCAATTTTCTCCTTAATTACTATAATATTAAAAAACCTGCTGTTTTGTTAAAAAACCGATATTAAAAAGCAATTTCTTGTTAATTAAAATTAAAATAAAATAAATAATTAAAATAAGCGTACTTAATAGATAGATTAGCTCCATTGACGAGATGAACTAGATTTTCAAATAGATTCTTCAATCTTACCGAATATACTAAAAACAAAGTTTTAAAATATCTTTCAATTCAACCAAGATACATTTTATGAAAACGATAGTCGTTTCTAAGTATTTTGATTTTGTTAAATTACCGAATATCAATTTGGGCAAACAAATATTATCGTTTGATCTTTGATCCCTGTTTGTCTGGCTCTCACTACGTATATCTGTACATAAAACATGCCTTAGCTATTTCATTTCAGAATAAAAATCTTTCTCAATCTTACATTAAGGGTAATGCCCTTAACCCATAAGAAAATATTAGGTTATTTTGAATGTGTATATATATACGAAGTATATCCATTCAGTGTAACTGAAGTGTGATAATATGTTCGACTGTATGACCGAAAGGATCCCAGGAAGTACAACACCAAAACTTTGTATTCATTATTCCTGAGGCAGCCTTAGGCAGATCAAGTTTGTCTTTTTTTTTTCCCATACTCCCCAAGTACTTATTAGTAATTTGTGCACAACTCCTGTAATTGTTCACTGTTTTTCGGTGACTGTCACGTGTCCTCCAGAATCACATTTGGAACAATATTTCGCATTTGAGGACAAAGTTTTTAGAGACGACCATCCATATACAAAATAAATATTTCAAATAAATGGATGACTATTATCCATGTATTATATTAGGAGACATAACTTGTCCTCAGCTGTCCATTTTCCCCATGTTAGTTCAATTGTAAAAGAATAGATTACACCCACATTCAAATAAAAAAAAGTTTGTGTTTTTTTATGAAATATTTACATATATAAGTGGTATTCCTGTAAATAATATAGACTTTGAATTTCTCGATCTGAATCGTTTATAAATGAGTTGACGGAAAGACAATTTTAATAATGTATTTAATAATAATTCCACTTCGATAGAAGGTTTGGAACATGTTTTATCTCAAGAATACTTTAATCAAAGACGAGTATCTGTTTGGTAATGATATTCCCATAATTGAAGGATTTAAAAAAATTGGTTTAATGTTGTTTTAAGCTTACTTCCATCTTTTTTAAATATGAATCATTTTCTAAGATTTCACAATCAAAGATTTCTTCAAACTTCGATCTTTAAACTGTACGTTATTTTTATTTCTGCTTAGAGCAACTTGTTGTTACAAATTGACAGTCTTAGAGCAGTAATCTAAACAAATTCACCCCATCAACCGACTAATTAGTTCCATGCTCACTTTGAATGACAAAAGCTATGCCCCAATATTGATTTGCCTTCGCTTGGAAAACTAATACGAGTATGTTTATACAGTTCTTCCGATCACCAAGCCAACCCACCAGCATCAGCTTTATGGGCATGTCCAAGCACATGACCCACATGAGATGTGCAGAGCACCCACGCATGCTGGGACTTTGTTGGGCTTTGTTGCTTGTCGTTTGTTGTCTTATCTGAAGATCCATATAATGTACATACTCCACTGCCTCTTTCTTTGTATTAATCGATGTAACCTTTGCAGCATACTCTTTGTGATCTCATCAATTGGCAACAGCACAGTTCTCTATATGCTGACGAAGCGAAGACTGCGCGGTCCCTTGCGTATAGACATAATGCTAATGCATCTGGCCATTGCCGATCTAATGGTCACGTTCCTGCTGATGCCGCTGGAGATCGCGTGGGCCTGGACGGTGCAGTGGCGCTCCACAGACCTTATGTGCCGGCTGATGCTGTTCTTTCGCGTCTTCGGCCTCTACTTGTCGAGCTTCGTCATGGTCTGCATATCGTTAGACAGGTGAGTCCGACTTGTCCCCTTCCCCTTCCCCCTCCCCTTCTCGATCCAGTCAGCGACTTTGCCAGCGACTGTCGCTAATGGACTAAATTGATAGCCAGATAAGGCGATGCGAAGTGTCAATCGACGTTACGGCTGCAACGCTGACATATACCTTATTTTATTATCACTTAGTTTTATTTTAATATTTATTTATTTATTTTTTTGCACCAAATGCGCTCTGGTACAGGCTGAACTGCCTCAGCATCGTATTTGTTTGAAATGTGAGCCGCAAAGTTTTGCGATTTCGAAAATGTGAAAGGCACCTTTATTCTTTAAATCTACTTAGCTGTTTAGCTTTCCATCAAACTGATGTTATCTACGCTCACTTCAATAAACTATTTGACTCTGTTAGTCATAATCTTCGGCTTTTTAAGCTTGGACTTCCCTATTTTTTCCACTTTTTATACCCTGTAGCTAAAAGGTATAAAGAGTATTTTAGGTTTGTACAAAAGTATTTTCGACTCCGTAAACTGTATATGTTCTTAATCAGCATGATGAGAGGATGCGATCTAGACATGTCCGTCCGTCTGTCCGTCTGTATGAATGCCTGGATTTCGGGAACGGTTGAGCGCACATTAACCAAACATAGATGCTTCTAAGCTACACGAGTATACTTTATTTTTTTGTATTTTCCCCCGCATCAGAATTTCGCCAATACTGCCCACAATTCAAAAGCTACATTAACCAAACTTTGCACACATAAATAGTATATAATTATCTACTTTTGTTCAACCAAATAGGTTAATTCTAAGAAAACCAACAAGCTGCAGCATGAAGTTCTTCTTCGTCTATTTGCTTCTGCCATGGGCCTTCCAAGTTTGCCTTAAATTACTTGTATTTTAAATTGTGATTCTCATTTAAATACAAAACTCCTTATTTACAACTTTATTTTAATTTCTAAAACTATTTTATAATCTTGAGAACTTCCACTTAAACTTTATATGCGCATATAGGCGGCTAACACTGTACATTTTTTCCATAGATATTATGCGATCTTGAAGCCACTGAAACGATCGTACAATCGCGGACGCATCATGCTGGCCTGTGCGTGGCTCGGCTCGGTGATCTGTAGCATACCGCAGGTATGTACGAGTATGTAAAAGCATACTGAAGTATTTAGACCAACAGTTGCCAAGTTGCCAATTACTGCCCACTTGCAGGCCATTCTCTTTCATCTGGAGGAGCATCCGCACGTCAAAGGCTACTTTCAATGTGTCACCTTTCATTCGTTTGCGAGCGAAGCTCAGGAGCTGATCTATCAGATATCGACCATGTGTCTGATGTACGCCTTTCCCCTGATCGCCTTCATATACTGCTACGGTGCCATTTACGTGGAGATCTATCGGAAGAGTCAGCGCGTAATGAAAGATGTGGTGGCCGAGCGCTTTCGTCGCTCTAACGACGACGTCCTAAGTCGGGCAAAGAAGCGGACTCTCAAGATGACTATCACAATTGTGATAGTGTTCATCATCTGCTGGACGCCATACTATATCATTGCCATGTGGTATTCGCTGGATAAGTCAACCGTTTCGCAGGTGAACTCGCTGGTTCGCAAATCTCTGTTCATCTTCGCCTCGACCAACTCGTGTATGAATCCATTGGTCTACGGCTTGTACAACATTCGGGGACGGCTTAACAACAATAATATGGTAAGTTAATTATTAACAACAGAGAATGTTATAGTCGAGCAAGTCCGACAATTATATACCCTGCACCCAAAAAAAAAACTGTCATCTCATTATGATCAAGAATATGAAGAAAACGTGGAAATGCTTTATTCTGGCTGTTACCTTAGCACGTCCTTTTATCGTTATAAAATTTTTAACTATAAAAATGATGTGTAGAGCCTTTCTTTAATGAAGTTTACTTACAAGCGTTGTCATTTATAAGAATAAAATATATGAGTTTCTGTAAAAAATGTTCTTCATATATTAGGAACTAATTTCTAAAAATGTAAACATTGTCTAATCCCGAATACTATTTCAAGCGGTACATTGCTTAAAGACCCTCACTGATTTTGAAAAGTAAAAAAAACTCTAAAAATCATGCGACCTTATAACAATTTTGAGGCAATCTCTCATTTGGGTTCAATGATTTTAATATGCATTATTTTTGTTCAGTGGAAATTATATATCTTATCAACAGTTTTTAAATAGAAGGTTAAATTTAAATTATTTTCTTCATTATCAACAAGAACAGCATAATATTTAATAGTATTTTAAATAAATAAATATTTTCTATGCAAAATCGTGGAACAAAATTAATAAAGGTGAACAACTTTATATATCGCGGACATCTGTTTTAAGTCTATGGCATAAAATTCTATATTCCAAATTTAATTTCGCATTTATTAGCACAAATTTGCCAAAGAATTTGGCTTCTGCCAAGCCACAACGACAAACATATGTGATTGGATTAAGCCTGAGCCTTGCCCTTGTTCTGGCTCATGTCAGCCTTGGGAGGCTCCTGCTTGTGATGATTGGAGATAATTTAATTTTTGCTTATGCTCAGGAGATACTGCTCTGCTATGGGATTCATCCAAGGAATCTGCTCCATTGTCTTTACCGACTTACAACCCAAAACGTCAATTTCACGCCAATTTCCAGCATATCATTGATTCTCAGGTCTAGTATGGACAGGCTCTTCAATTGCCCGTCTCCATTCCAAAGCGGTTCCTTGGAAAGTTATGCTCGTTATACATTAAGCACGGGGAAGGCTACAGAGCCGAGAGACAAGTTATTTAACCGGTGCATGGATGCAACTCACGCACTTTTTTTACGAAACAATAAAATTTTCCAGGCTAAGCAAGTACGGGTTCGACTGAATGTGTAGCACAAGCAAGGCAGTTCTTCGAAGGATACCAGATTTGTCCATCCACAACGTCACATTTTCACGATTCGCGCTATTCAGTCAACACTCAGTAATTTATAATAACTAGGAAGTAGGCGTGAATTTTTATCTGATTTGAAATCAGAAGATTACTTTTTTATTTTTGAATGCAAGGGCATAATTTTTTGAGGGCTTTGTGATGGCAATTTAATATATTTTTATTAATCACGAAATTTCCCCTTTTCTTTTGCAGTCCGTCAACAATCGGCATACTTCGCTCTCCCATCGTTTAGACTCTTCGAATCAGCTGCTGCAGAAAACCACACTGACCAATGGACACAGTAATGTGGTAGCCGCTGCTGTGGCGGCATCCACAAAGCTGGCCCATGTGGTGCGCCTAAAGACAAATGGCGCTGGCGATAGCCCAGTGGTTGGCCCGGTCGTCACGACTGCGGCGGGCAGCGAGTCTGGCGTCATTAATGACGACAGCATTGTCACCATAAAGGGCCAGACTCTAACTGGACAGGAACAGGGCTCGAATGCGACACAGGAACAGCCGCCCAAGACACCGAAAACTACCATCATCTGCCTCAAGTAATGTTGCCACAGAGCCGCTTCTCACTTTATGACGCAAGCATCAACTTCACTTTTCATTTCGCTTTTCGCACACTTGTCAGCATAAATTTGAGGTTTTTATGTTGCGGTCCAAATGGGCAGATTTTGCGTTTAGGTAGCACCTTGGTGTGGCTAATTGTGGGGATATGGGAAAGTGATTTTGTGGTTACCTAACAACCGGGTGTGAATTGAACAGCTCCCTTTGACTTTTTTCTATCCGTTCTCGAGTTATGGACGGAGATAAACTTTTAAAATGAAGTTGGAGTTGGGATTATAGCAGGCATAACTTCTTTCGCAATCTCGAATGCATTAAAAAGTAGTCGGTATTAATGAGCATCTACTTTGTATTTCTCAAGCCATGGCCAAGAATGCAGGTTGAGAAAAGTAGGTTCAATAGATTGGTGTTTATTTTCTTAAATACTGCGAGAAACTTTTAAGAGCAACTCAAAAGGATTTCACAAGTACTTCCATAAACATTCAAATAAAAATTTGTGCTGTATAGTGTCGAGATAGTTCAGGTGGAAGCATTAAAAATGAACAGAATGCACCAATGATGAAAATGATTACCAAATTTGGTTTTAAAATAAACAAAAAGGGTGAAATACTAAGAAATTATGAATACTTTAGATTATTTTAAATAATTTGTGTGAAAATATTTGCAAGTAAGGCAGCAGCTTGAGAAACAGCAAAGAATCAGTTGGCTATTTCTAACCTTTCCATCATCTTTTAACTGCATTCAGTAGACTTCACATAACAATACATTAACAATAAAATTTCGATAGTATTTACATAATGCTAAATACTTTGAACAAAATGTATTTAAATTGAAAGCTAGAGGGCATTATTAAATTTGTCAAAGTGCGGTCCAAGTGTGAAAAGACTTAATAGTTTCTAAAGTAGGCATCAATATTTCTATAAGACAAGTAGCTGCCTGTTCAGAGATTGGAAATATCGTATTGCCAGCCATAAGTTTGTAGAGAAATGCTGTACAAAACGGACTTTATTAGTTCAACAAAACAAATTGTAAAGCATATATAGTGTAGCCTTGAGTTTGTAATTGCCAAGAATAATAAGATTCGTGTCTAAATTAACTGATTTCAGGAACAAACAGAAATTTCCTTTTATGAACAATCTGCAAGCCAAGTTAGAAAGCAAAAAAAAAATCAACCAGCAAGTGGGGGAAAACCGATTAAGTTAAACACTTGCTTATCTAAATTGAATTTCGACTTAAATGCTTAAATCTTCCTCTTGCTAAGTAGATAGTAGCCAGATCACTTAAAAAGCCATATATCATTTTATAAAACCAATCAACCAACCAACACACTTAACCCTCTATAAAAGATGTACTTTCAGTTGTGATGACCCCGTCGATCCGGCCAATTCGGATAAATCATAAAGCGAATGTGTTGGGCGACAGTTTGGCGGCCCCAAGACGAATAACGACAACAGCATCAGCAACAACTACAACTACAACAACAACAACAGCTCAATTAAGCTCGGCTACTGTTTAGTTCGACTATCGGGCAGCGGCTCTCGATAAAAGGCTTTTAATTTGCTTGTATGTGTATCGTAAAATATACGCTTACGAGTAAGACGTAGAAGCGCATACTTCTAGATACTCTAGTTAGTTGCCTTATTGCTTAATTTAAATTAATTTATTCATAAAACAAAAATAAAATGTAGAAAAAATTATATAGAAAATAGCAAACGACAAGAATATAATATGTGTGTAATTAATGCATGGCCCCTACCGGGCCCCACTCGTGCTTTATTTATTCCTAGGCTCTTTTGTTAAGACGGCGTTAATCATTCGCTTTATGGGCTTCGGTGACGTTAATTATGGGTCGTGTGTGTGCGAGCTTTTAAATATTTATTAGAGTTAAATAAATAAATAAAACCCGTTCCCTTTGTGCCGCTCTAGGGCCTGTATCAGCAAAGCCTTTGATATTATGACCTTAAATCATGTTTGTTTATTGGGTTCTTTCAATAAACTAACAATAGCACACAATAGTCTATTTGTTTATTTAAAGAAAATGTTTGGCAACGCGCACTTGCCAGAAATATTCAACAGCATTTCTGTTGGCCTATGAAACCTAGGGTTATAATTAAAAGGTTATGAACATGAGGCCTAGAGTTATACGCTTAAGGTTAATGATTATTGTGAAGTTTTGGCATTTTTCGTTAATTTGGAAAGTCAATTCGAGCCAGTTTCATCAAACACAATAACATTTCTAGCTCGTCAATACCTTTAAAATATTCAGAAATTACTCTTAATTTAAAAATCTGTTTTTTGCTTATTGTGTTTTCTATTAATGCTCAGTATTACGTGTTTATTGAGAAATACTGTTGTTTTGAGCCAATGGTCTAGCCAGTGTTAGTAGCCCCGACCTCCAACTGGACTAACAAAATCCGTGATTAGAGCGACAAAGATTCAAAGATTCAGAGCTCGAGTTTCGAATCAAGAAGAGAAATTAGAGTTGTCTCTTGGTAAAGGAACGTGGGAAAATAATCTGGCTGTAGATGATCCTTAAACATAACAACCGAGCCTAAATTTATTTCTTGATGTTTGAGTTCGAGGCAAGAAAAATATATATTTTAATTTAATAGAACTATAAAATAACCAAATTTTCAGATTTCATTTTCTAGCTTTCTTCTACATCTTTCATAGTTCAATTCAATATTCAATCCCACATCTAGCTAAAATCTAGGAACTAGCCATATCTTATAATCTCTCTAGATACCAATAGCTTTTGTCTGCATTTATGTGCAATTGTGAAACAGCAGGCCCTAATTTGCTGTTTAGATCAACCATCAATAGTTCTTCACGATTCTGGAATTGATTTTTCGTTGTTGTAGATTTGAGGGTCTTGACAGCAGTTTGCCTTTTCTGACTGCGATCTATTGTCTTAATGATTAACCCCCAACTAAAGCAAATTTCAGCTTTTCAGTCAGTTCTTATTTTCACTTTTTGCCCAAAATAATCAGAGCTGAAGAAGTTTTTGCCTTGCTTATAAAATGCTACCATTTTATGTTTATTTTACCCCACTTGGGGGTTATTTGAAAATCGTTTTCAGTAAGAAACGCACAAAAAGACAAGGCTTGATTTTTGAAGCAATATTGTTCTTCATTTAAGTTAAACAAATACTCCCATATATTTAATTAGATTCCATTAACATCTGAGACTAATTTAGATTTTAAGGATATTGATAAAGATATATTGAGAAATAACTTGACTTTCAACCTTTTCCAAATCATTAGTTTTCGCTTGATTATACAGATGCTAATTTCGTTTTTAATAAGGTTATTAAAATGACTTTAACAACCTAGTTTTGTCAAAATCCGTAATTACACTCTCCATTGCTAACTATACTCGTAAACTTGCTCGCCAGTCAGCAGCCACTCACTGTCACCGCAAAATTTTACAACTTTCAGAACGCAACTGCTGTTGGGACAGGCACCCACACATCCTATTTCTGCTGCTGCACCCAACTGCCAATACCCCAATTAACAATCAAAGGCTTTAAGAGACAACTTCGTTGCCATTTAGTGTTAGAAAGTGCCTCACTTTCCTTCATTACACTGCTCAACAAAGTCACGTCGAACGTGTGGCACTTAAAACAAATCCACGGACACACACACAAACACAGGCACATACACAGGTAAGCAAATTAAACAGTGGAATGCATGTAATCGAGACTTGAAGACCGAAAAGTAAACATGTTAATAATACAATTTTATGATTAATACGAAATGAGCTCCAACAACGATGCGACTCGCCACAACAACCTCAACAGCCTAAGATTGCGATGCGTCCGAACACAAACATGTAGCGCACCACCATCGCACTATGGGCTGTAAACAGGTTATGGGTAGTCGAAATTTCAGGCCGAATGGCCAATATGATGTATTCGCTCCCCATCAAACTAGAAAATGCGACAGCCCTGCTCTCCAAGATGGATCTAAAAGTCCTACTCCTTTTGATTGTTTTCACAAAACGGTTCCAAATCGGTGCCTAAAACCAAAGTTTAACTCCGAATCGCGCATCACAAAGAGGCAATAAACTTCTTGTTGTACTCAGTTTAATGCTAAGTGGCTTGCTCATCACCATATCACCATATCATATCATGAAAAAATAAAATAAATCAGACTTGCGCAGGAGGTAAGGTTAAATTATTGTTAACAATTGTTTAACGAGCAAAATATAATAATACCGTGATGTCACTACTTATTAACTTAATATTAACTTAATATCTTTACTTATTTTTGGCAAAGAATAGTAAAATCTTCAATAGATTGCTCAATTTAAAGGTACATCTACAAACATCTCTCCAAATTGTGACGAATCTGAATCTGCAATCTGCGAACTCTTTAACTATCTGTCTTTCCCAACTATCTGGTGTTTTAAGGTAAAAATGATATTGTATTTTTTGTAGCTAAAGGTTTTGAATTACTTCAATTTTACTACTATTTTACAATAGCTGGTAAAGTGTGTTAGACCATCGTACTGTATGATTGTCATAAGGGCTAAAGATGATAAACTGGGTCATTTACTTTATTGAAGTAAGATTGAGTGAAAAATAATTGAAAATATTAAGTTATTTTGTTATCTGAGCTCTGGAGTGTAATGTGTTCTTTATATAACCAATTGGCCAAATATATGATTTTACACTTGCGATAACATAAGTTAGCCACATAATGCCACAAGTTTTCTGTAGTATTTCAGCATTTCATTCCACAGTGCAACATCGTCATCCATTCAACCGATTGCGTGGGCAGTGCCGGCTGCTGGGAACAAGCACAGCCGTGGCCGCTTATTTATAAATCACGCACATAATGAAATTTTCAGCAAGTGGTCGTCGCGGAATCGTCTCTCCGTGCCACAAACCCAACACGGCATATGCAACAACAGCAACAATAACAACAACAAAGTTGTCCGAAAAATATGCAGCGAACGCAAAATATGCAGCGTTGATGTGTGATGCCGGCCTGGGTGTGGATCTGGCCCCCATATCTGTGTGTGTGTGTGTGTGATATATAATGCCCGGCCAGGCAAGGTGACATCTCGGCGACATAATGATGAACAGGTCGTAGCAAGGCCCTCAAGTGCTCGACTCGGTGCTACTGTCATGCTTGTCATGCATCTTTGGCAGCCAAGTTGCAAGTTGTAGTCCATAAGTAGCCATTAATAGGTGGCATATATTGTGTGCCCATCATTTCTGACTCGATTTTTTTGGTTGGTTTCTATATTTTATGTTTATGGTTGTGGCAGTTTTATGAACGCCATAATCATGGTGTGGTATTTAATGTGTTTTTGTTTTTCAGTTTCGAGGTATTTGAAGATTTAGTGAATTCAGCACATGACACAAAAGGGGTTTAGGGCTATGTGACTTTTCGTTTTTGCAACTTTGTTTTGGATTGGGATTGGATTTCACAATTGAAACATTTGCGGTCAAATCGGAATGGGATTTGGTTCCTATGTGTTCTGGTTACAAAGCTATAAGCTTTTAAAAATACATTTTAATATTATACGTAGAAAAAGTTATAAAAATTACACTATAATAAATAAATCAGCGCATTTAAATTCAACTAACCGAAGAATAACCGACGAGTTGTTGTTTTCCACGCTACACATCCCTAAGCTCAATAATTCTTGGTGCTCCGATAAAACTTGAAAATATAATAATTTCAAAAACCAGTTATCATATTATAGACGGAAGAATTATTTTGATTTGTACACTGAATGTTAACAGTTACTGTCTTGCAACTTTTCAATTTAGCACGATTATTAACATTTCAACGGCATTGTTTTAGTTTTTAATTGTAAATATTAAAATACACTTATATTGTAAAGGTAGATCGATTGCGGTTACGGAGAAACCTGAAAGTATGCAGAGAAATTTGAAAAAGTGAAAACATATCCCAGCTACTTAAGTAATTATTTCGCACTAGCAAGAGAAGCTTCATAGCACTTTTACCCAACGCGTTAAGGAATAGCAGTATTTTATGAAGTGCTGTTAAAGTGTACGAAAGTTGTTGGACAGAGAAAGCGAAAAAATAGTGCAACATAGTTCCAACACCTTACCTGTCTATATGGTATATAAATTGTTGCATAAGATCCCGCGTCTAAAGCTGATAAATTTTAAAGATAGTTAGGAGATATCTCCTAATTGATACGATCTAAGACAGTTTTGCGTAAATTAAAATATTACGCAATTTTGTAAAAGCTGCTTATGATTAAAATTTGATTCATGTGACTTAAAGTTTAAATGCATGCATATTCATCTAAAATTCTCTGAAATTCTCCCTATTAGATACTTGTATTGGCCCCACAAACAACAGCTAAACAACAACAACTGGCTAAGCAGTCTGGCAACTCTCTGCTGCTCTTACGCAAATTTGCACGTGGGCGTCTTAGCTTACTCACGCGTCAAAAGAAACACAAACGAAGACAAAATGCTCTGCCGCTGGCTGGCGTTTCTCCCAACAGCAACAACTTTGAAGTCGCAGCATCGGCAGCGCCCAAGCAGCAGCTCCGAAAGCAACAACAACATCGGCTGAGAACAAAACAAACTGCAATCAGGCGTCAACTGCGACGCCAACTGCAACTTGTTGTTGGTGCTGCGGCCGCGACGCCAACTGCTGCTGCTTTGATGTTGCTGTTGGTGTTGCCGCTGTTGCCGATACCCTTCGCGTTTAGTGTGCGTTTGCACGTCGAACAACACGGTACGTTGCGCAGGTAGATCGTTTGATCGACACTCTCCAGCTTCGTCGATGTCTCGATAAAAATGCGCGTGTCGTATTTGAAGTGTTTTACATCGTATTTCCTGATCGATGGCAGCTTTTAGTGTCGTTCTTTCGTTTGTTGTTGCTGCCGCGTAATAAATCGTTGTCTTAATAAAAACAATAATAATAATAATGATGAGCACAAGTTTATGTCATGTCTGGAAAAGATTTGTGCCTGCTATTTAGGGTGCCCGTATCGTATGCGTAATATTGTCGCAGCTGTAGCTGAAGCCTTCGCGGCCATTTCGTTGTCAAGGTGGATGGGATGTCTTGGCGTTCTTGTTGTTAATAGCATAGAAGTGTTTTAATTTTTATTGGCACGAACGCCTGCTTTTCTGGCTCGATCTAGGCACCAACAACAACAACAACAACAACAACAGACGAACGTTCGCACGCTTCAGGCGGCAGCTCGTAGGCTGCTCAGTCGTGGAGCAGTTGCCATCGTTGTAGGATCGTCGCGTGCTTGGCTTCGTTCTAATTTTCGGCTTCGTGTCTTAAGCTGCTAATAAAATCGGGCGATCTTAGTTGCGTGTCGCGGCGTCGGAAAAGGGTTCCTCAGTCTATTTAAAAGATTTTAAAGCATCCGTTTTATTATTGATTTCTGTAATGTAACGGCAGCGACAACGACCTTTGATGTGATTTGTGTTATATTTGTTTGATCTCTTTCAAGTGCAGTGATCTTTGTCGAGCGCTACAAGCAAGAAATAGTAAAGTGTGGAAATACCCATAAAAATAACTTGAGTTGTTTCTGTTCTAAATTACATTGCGTTGACAGCGCTAAGTGGCCGCCACAGGAGTTGTGTGTGTGGAGTTTGTCTGTTTTTGTACGACTAGCAGCTGACTAGCTCTTGAAGGCAACTAGTGGCAAGCGGTGACTTGGAGTGGCACGCAGCGAAGCACAAACAAGCGGAAGCGTCCTTGACCAAGAGGTAAGTGAGTGAGTGAGTGTGTGTGTGTGTCTGTGTGTTAAGTGGGTTAGACGGGGCATGAACGTGCATAGAAATCGAAATAAGACACAAGCTGTGTCCGACTGCTTCGTTGACGAAAGTGAAATGCGAATTTGTTTGAAATTGAAATAATATTTTCAAAGACAGACACAGACTAGACACTCGATTAGAAATTTGATTGTGGAAGAGAGACGTTGGCAGGCGAGCACAAAAATTGTATTTCCTGTTTCACTATTTGAGTGTTTCAATGCTGTACTCAACTTATTATTCATTAAAATTTAAATTTTATTTTAAGTAATTAATAAATACATTTTTTATAGTCAGAAACAGTCTAGAGACTGATTTTCTTTGATGATACTTTTATTGTTAGAAAAACCAAATCAAATTCTTGTAATTTCTTGAAATACCTTTCATTAACTACAATTTTCAATTTAAATGTGGAACCGTTACATTTCATCTACTGAGAATTTACGAATGTAAAGACAGTGCTTCCTTAAAAATTGTTATAATAATCGTAAAAGTAGATCAAGAGCGTAAAGCTGAGGAAACGAAGCGATAGTTTCTCATACTCGTATACTTTTGAGTTGTACGAGTATTTCTTATTGTTTTAGAATAAAATGAAATACCAACTGGTTTGATAATGGTTCAAGAAAAGAATATAGGACTTAAATAGTTAATTCTTCTAGTTTAATTTAAATCGACAGACTAATATTCGTACAAGTTGTGCAAATAGAGTTAAACTTTTTATTACTTTGATTAAAAGTTAAAAACAATGTATTGATAACTGCTTCATTAATATAAACTAATTGACAATTTACAAATTTGTGTTCAAAACCTGTATATGTAAAGTGTTTCTTTTATCAGGATTTTATATTCTAAACTAAAGTAAATTATTTACTTCTTTTTGAGAACAAAAGTGATTTAAATTGTGGTCCATGGTAAAACTACCATATATTCCTACCACACGAAGGTTCACATTTTCTAAATACACCAGAAGTTAAGAAAAGGAACATGTATGATACAATTTATGTGTACAATCGGACTCAATCAGATAAGTTGATCGAGAGACGGTGTTTATAATACCTTTGTAAATGAATATGTTATTCGAAGATTGTATTCTCCAAGCCCAACTCTTTCGATAGGGATAAATCAATTTATTTTTTAAGTTGTTTGGTTGAGTTATTTGAAACAAGAGATTTTTTAGAGTTTTACAACGTCTGAATTTTTCAAAGAAGTTAAGTTAAATTTTGTGTAAAGAATGGCATTTCTGTACCCGAAACGTTGAGAATGTTAGCTTAGGCTTTCGATAAACAGGCTAAGTGAAAAAAAAGTTTATGAATGGCATTAAATTTTCATAAAGCATTAAAGGCATGCCCCAACCATAAACTGATGAACAATACGTAAAGCAAATTATTGCTAATGCTTTTGGCTTTTCTAATGGATCTGTCAATACCATTTTAAGAGAACTTTTGTGCCTCTTAATAGTCAAATCTTGTTTGGCTATTAATGGTAATGGTAATTAATTAAAGAAAAGCATTTATTGTTTGTCAAAATAGTTTAGTACTTAAAAACGAAACAAATATCAAATTAAATATATTAAACATAAATGTAGTTTTATATTCCTTTTAAAATAAAAGCTTTTACGTTTCGCCTTCAATGTGATAGCTTTAATAAGCCCTTGGAATAACAAATAATATATAATTTAAGCACATATTATTGTGCGTTTACTGTACTTAGTTGGCCTTAAGTCTCTTATGAGCTACCTGTTGCTGTAATTCTAGCCGCTTGAATTGACCAATTTATGAATATTTTAATGCGCCATAAAAACCACTTCGCAGCGTTGACACAATTGATAAATCATAATAATTGTTGCTGGTGGTTCTTGTTGTTTTTGTGAATGTCGTTGATATTCAAATGCCATCGATACATATTAATTAACCGCACCCTGGATGGCAGTTAACATTAATCTAGAAATCTTAGTCTTATCTTCGAGCGATCTAGTGTGGCGTTGGCGTTGGCGCCATAAAAATCAACCCAAACAAGTCATAATTTATTAATTATCCCACTTTCTACGAAACAAACTGAAATCAGCCTGAAATCAATGTTAAATAAGGAACGTTATTGTTTTCCAAATTTAATTCAGCCAGTAGTTTGCAACAAAAGTATAAAATAAATAAGAATCATTATAACAAATGAGCGAAGAATAAAACAAAATATCATTAAACAGCAGCCGCAATTTGTTCAGCGCCAACACCATAAACAAAATATTCTTGTTTGCTGGCGAGCCAAATATGTAAAGGCTATAAAGGCGGTTATATGCGAAAGGCAGATACGCTGCATTTAAAACATCACTCTAGCATTATATTTGAAGGGAATATGCATACGCCTAATATGGCAATTGTGTCTTAACTCTTGTAGCTTTTTTGTTGAACCGGTAAAAAAAATGAAAATAATTACATATGTCGCATTCCGATTTACACCATTCACACATCTTACTGAAATGGCCATCTCCCTTTCTCGTTCTTCATACGAAATATTAGAATCTATTTAAAATCTTCTTCACAAATTATTATTGTTTTACAATTTGTCTTCATGATGCCCGTATGTATTTTGATTTGGGTGTAAAATACATTGCAAAAAGTGTAAAACACACAATTTTGAATGCTCGAAGAATTTAAGCAAGAATATTAAAAATAGGTAACCATGAAATACGTTTTCGATTTTTACAAAATAAGTGAATTTATAGGAGACATTTCGAAATTAACTCTGTCTTCATGCAAATCTAAAAAATATAAAAACTATGTTAAGCTTACAAAAAAAATGTTTTCATAAATGAAGCTCCTTTATAAATAGGATCGGTAAAAGTGTACGCTGTTAGGCGGAGAATCTGTATACAATATTTGTCGATAAATTCGGTATAGTTCCTGAGAAATCATTAAAACAGACGAAGCATTTAAGCAAGAATATTAAAAATAGGTAACCATGAAATACGTTTTCGATTTTTACAAAATAAGTGAATTTATAGGAGACATTTCGAAATGAACTCTGTCTTCATGCAAATCTAAAAAATATAAAAACTATGTTAAGCTTACAAAAAAAATGTTTTCATAAATGAAGCTCCTTTATAAATAGGATCGGTAAAAGTGTACGCTGTTAGGCGGAGAATCTGTATACAATATTTGTCGATAAATTCGGTATAGTTCCTGAGAAATCATAAAAACAGACGGACGAACAAACAAAAAAAAAACGTTAAAGTAAAAAACAAGCCTTGTTGTTGTTCTTTTACAATATGAGCGAGAAGATTATATCTTTAAGTTCGGGACCATTAAATAGGTGGACATACGCGTAGTTAAACAAATAGTATAATAAAGTCTATATTGATATTTGGAACGACTTCTTCAATGTATGTACGGTAAGGTAATATCTTCTCGAGTCAGGTTAGGTAGCGTAAGGTTAGTTTAGCTTAGTTGCTTAATATTCTGTTCGTTTTCATTCCAAAGATTGAGACACTTCATGTTAATGACAATCTTTGTTGTTGGGAATAAAACTTTCCAATAAGCTGAACGAGAAGATTCTACTCCTAAGACTTGGGAAAGATGAACAGAGTTAGACAAATAATATAAAGTTCATAGACTTGTTTGAATATGTACATCGATTTGTCTTGTCATTGGGAACAGTCTGATATAACTGTTGATACCCTTTGGCTACAGTGTGTAAGAAAAAGAGACAATGCCAAACGCATTTGTATTTTGTATATATTTACGTTATATGTTTTATTGGATTTCGACATTGTTTCGCTTGCCATCGCTGGCATCACAAATTCAATTAAAAAACGCCCACAAGTGGACGCTCAAAGATCATTACCATAACAATTTATAACAACTGTGAGTCGGACAGGGAGTGACTAACTGCTGGATTGTGGTTTGCTTTGCTCATTCTATTTTGCATATGTTAAGAGCTGACCAAATATGGTTGCGTTCGCCATTTATTAAAACATAAATAATATTTTGTTGTGGAATTTCCGCTCGCCAGCAGCTTCATTTCCCTTTGCTTTTCCATTCGTGTCGACAATTTTGTTAGTTATTGGTTCATAAACAGTTCGTTACAGAATATGCTAATCAGTGGCATGAAAATGATTGCAACAAATTAGTCGCGTGCAGTGGTGAAAAGTCATTTGACTGAATCAGCCCTTTGACGGCATTAAGTTTTCAAGTTTCTTTATGCTTTGTGTTGACTGCATTTCGACGCCAGCCGATTTGCAATTCAAATGGGCTCTGTCTGACTAATATAATAGTTTTTGGCGTTTGGCTTTAACCTTTTGTTTAGACTGGTGGCTGCCTGGCGTCAAAAGCGGTTCAAGTTCGCTCGCCAAGCCAATTTCGTTTTTATAGTTCATCAAAATAAGTTAATAGCTTCGCGATAACCAAACTTAATTACAATTTAAATAGATGCCACAAACCTCTTTCGGGCAATCAATACATTTTAGTCATCTCCTAAACATATATCTCTTTTCTCGTATTGAATTTCATTTGGGCTATTCCTATTGGGCATAAAATATCGTTTACAAGTATAAGCTGCTTGCTGATTTGATCGAAAACGCAAAATCGTTTCTGCCTTTCGAACACATTTCTGATATTCTGCGCCGATATGCTAATGCTAGCCCAGTTGGCTAAAACTAGTAAGCATGTGTGGATATTTTTTATTGGCCTTAACACCTGCCTTAAACATACAGCTGCTATATTTATTGCCTGTCATATGCTATTTTATAGGCAAATAATAGTGCTTGCGAATTCTATTTAGCATTCGTTTCGTTTATGAAGGGTGTTCCTTTTCGACTTTGAATAATAAGTGGGAGTGGCTCTAATAATGCTTTGTATGTATATAAAAGAACAAATAATATTGAATATTGTCATAAATTGTGGCTAATGAGCCAAAATCCACTTTGTAATCTTATATTTGAAAACAAACTTCTCAGCTTGTAA